CTCAGCTGTTGGCTGGCCGTCCAGCTGAGAGGCAGCTTCTCTCAACTGCTGGTGACGGGCTGCGGAGCCCCAGAGTGTGACGGTCAAGGGGCCCGCAGGTTGTGGCTGCTGACAGACACTGTCAGCCTCCATGTGCTTGCTGGCCTGTGTGCGGGAGCCGATGGTGTCAGGCTGCAGCCGCCCCGGCCCGCCTCGCCTTGCCCCACAGCACTGGCACTCCCGCCCTGCCTCACCTCACCATGCAGGATGAGCCTCCTGTCCATTGTCCCACCTGCCAGAGATCCTCTGGATCTCCCCCAACCCTGCCCAGCCCCCACAGGCATCCCTCCCCATGAGCAACATCGAGGTGACCATGCCCACCTTGGCCACACCCACACAGTCTGCCATGACCACTACGGCCACGCCCACCCAGTGGGCCACACCCACCCAGCACCCGATGATACATGATTAGGTTTTGGGTTGCAGTTTGAGCACTCAGTCTCTAAAAGGTTCACCATCACTGTCCTAGAGCATTCTTTCTACTTTAATGTTAAAGTATTTGAAACATTAACTGCAATTGATCTTTGCTGGTTGAAAATGAAAATATGTTTTTGATTAGTAACTTCTGATACGTTAGTGAAACTTTTTGAAGATCCGCCTTACATTGTGTTCCACCGGGATAAAATAGTGCTTTTATCTCACTTCCAGTTTCTTCCTAAAATTGTCCCTTCTTTTAATATAAACCAGGAAACTCTTGCCTTTTTTTTTTTTCCGATCAATCTCAAAAAATTCTTCATACTCCCTGAAGAAATAGCAGGCTTTGACTCTTTTTTCTTGGCAGAGCTTGTTCTTTCTAATAAACGTCTACTGATTTGTTATGGGCACCTGAAAACTGGTTTAGTAATCTTCCACAATTGATAGCATGCTTGGTTATTACTACTATCTTCTTGACTGGCCTATTTGACAAACTTCTACCATTTTAAGTGTTGGGGTTCAATGAGTAGGATCCTCAGTGATTTATGCTGTGGCATCTTAGGATACAGCCCTTTTGAGATCTCTTGTGCTGCAACTTGGTCGCAGTTCTGACCTCCATAAGCTTCTGGAAACTAAGATTGGTCTTATTTGTCAGGCTTTCTTTTACATATCTGAGACAGGGAAACAATTCAAGGAATGATTCTGACAGATTCTCAGAAAAGTATTTATTAAAAGGAGGTATATGGTTATAAGGCAATTTTAGAGTACTTTATTTTCTAATGAGATTTGTGCGTGTGTATACGGGTATACATATAAACACACAATTAGGATGACAAAATGCTTGACATTTTCTCCTGGTGTGATGGTGGCTAGAAAGGAAAGGACACCTGTTGCTTTTATAAGGAAGGGCAACCTGCATCTGCTCTGCTTTGATGATTGTCAGTCTCTTTGTCAGTCTGCAAGCTGATGTTTACACTAGATTTGGACTGGCAGTGCTATCATCATTAATCTACTTCTACCTCCAGTAATTACAGCTTGTTCTACACATGAGAGGTATGTAAATCAAAGGCAGAGAATAAAATGCCATAACTGTTTTTCAAATGGTCATTTGTTAATTCACACAAACCTCCCATTTTTCTGTACAAACAATCTATCCATCATGCTAGTTTCTCTGTTGGTCTCAAGGAACTGAGGTAGATCACTGAGGGAGCTTGGGGCCAGCTAAGAATAATCCTATTTCAGAAATCAGAAATTTCAAGGCAAATCACCAATCGTCAGCCTGAAAAGATAAATCATAATATAATCTATGTTACACCTACCCCTAATTTAAGATGCAAATGTAAGAGACTGAAAGAAAGATAGATGTTGAAGAAACAACTAAGACCTATTGGAGAAGAATAAAACATGATACGTGGAAGGGTTTTGCATTGTTATATACATGCAGTTGGATTTATTTGGTAAGAAACTAAGTTCTTACATAAGATTTTTTGCTGTTCAGTTTTATATCAGTCAAACATTCTATTTAGTAGTAGAAGAAAAGGAAATATTTTACTTTTCTCCTGCATGACCCACCATGCTTGTTCTACACAATTCAGCTAATGATATATGAATACAAGCAGCATTTTAATTTCCCTTCATTTGCTAGTTTATCTCATTGTTTAAAGTAGGCACTTCTTAGAGTAATGCTTAAGAAGGCCTTTCTGGATTCCTCAGACTTAGGTAATTTCCAATGCAGGCCAGTTTCCAATTTTTCATGGTTAGGCAAGAAAATTAACAAGGTCAGCTTCATACTGTCATAAATAGATTATGTAGACCAAGTATGTCAAATCTTTTGGCTTGCCTAGGCTGCATCCTAGATCCATGTTTTTCCAATTTTAAGCTGTGTGAACTCCCAGAATTCCCCAGCCGGCATACTGAATTGGGAATTCTGGGATTTGGAATCTTAAAGTTGTCAAATTTGAAAACACTGTCCCAGCTCTTTCTGCAGCTTATGGCATTATTGTCCAAGGATCTTTCTGGAGTGCTTGGCAGGTTTCACAACTGGGGGCACTTTTTTGCAATTCTTTATGTTCTAGATGGAGATGGTATTTCTAGCAACTAGTTCACAAAGTGGGAACTGTTATATGAAGTCTCTCAAGGAACTATTTTGCCCCTGATGTTTTTAAAATATACATAAAACTCTTGTGAGAGAACATCAGGAGATAGGTTTTACGGTATTCAAATCTTTTTCTTTGTGACAGTATCATCAGGCAATGTTAAAGCTCCCTGAATATCTGCTTATAGACAGCACTGGATTGGATGAAAGAAAATAAATCAAAATAAGATGTAAACCTTTCTTGAGAAAGGACATAAGTCTAGGTCTATGGTAGATCTGCCTTTTATGAGTGAGGGCATACACATCTTTCTTTTGTCTTTTAATCTCTGTTGTGAAAGACCTATGCTGCAAACCATCCTGCTGCTTTTTATGTTGTACCCAATAACAAGTACCAGCATTTGTTTTCAGGCTATTAACCCACTTACATTGTGATTCTGGTTCCTTTTTGTTCTATACTTCCAGACCACTGAATTATATTTAAAGAATGCTTTTGTGGTGTTCTTGCATTCTCTTGTAGATTGTGCACAAACAGCCATCAGCTAGGATGAAGGTCCAGGATATAATCCTAGCTACTGTTATTTCTCTCAGTGGCCTCCACTGCCATCAGTCATGTTATCCTTCTGGCTCCATTTTGAAAACTGGGAGCCAAAGGGCCTCATCTACATGGTTCTAATTCTTCCTGAGTAGATAGTATTTACTAGAGAACTGCTGCTGCTCAAGAGGCTCAGAGGGTTTAATACAGGGGTCGTCAAACTTGGCCCTTTTATGACTTGTGGACTTCAACTCCCAGAATTCCTCAGTCAGCATGCCTGGCTGAGGAATTCTAGGTCTTGAAGTCCACAAGTCATAAAAGGGCCAAGTTTGAAGACCACTGGTTTAATATGACTAATGAAGCCCCTGGAGGCCATTGTCAGTTTGGGATACAACATCATCAGTATATTAGTAACACTCAATAATACATCACCACTCTGGGCTGACCTGTAGTTAAAGTCCCGACTCAGGATGTAGAGGCTGTTACAGAACTGGAATGGGAAGAAACAAGCTGGGATTGAATCTTGCAAGTGTATTATTTATTCAGAAAACATCTAGCAATTCTCCTGTTCCAGTCATGTCTCCATATGGGGAGGCAGTTTTCCCAAAGAAGCAGGTTAGGCTTTTTTTCCAGTGCAGTTGTTTCTTATTGTAGTCCCTTCTGAAGCATATTGCCTAGGCAATGATTATCCATACTATGCCCTTACTATCTCCCACATTAGCTACTGCAATGCGTTTTACCTGTGTCTGCTTTAAAGAATACCCCGAAGCTGGCACTGATGGAGAATGCAGCACCCAGTCTGCTGGAAGATGAGAGTTACTCCTTTCATATAAAATCAGTGTTACAGATGCTACCTTGGCTTTCAGTAGCTTCTCTGTAAAATTCAGAGCACTGCTTGTGACCTATGAAGTTCTCTTTAGGAGTCCTTAAAGACGGCCCTTGATACTGCAAGGACACACCATCTCTCAACACAAAGCCAGATTATTATATATTGACTTTCATCAGCACAAAATCACAAATTATTGTGGTGAGGCAAGCTTTTGAATAAAATCTGAGATTTTATGAACTTAATTAAAGGTGGCCTTGGAACCACTGATCTTTAATTGTATGATAATTCGTTATTTTAGGAAATACAGGCTTTGCAAGAGCAGAGCTCGGAGTCATCATAAACACAGGAGGGTTGTTCAAGCAGCTGCCCTTAAACATAATAATCGAATGCAAAGCGATTTCTCTTTAGCTGACCCATTAGCTTACTCGAAGCTCCATCGCGGCTCGGGGCCACTGCTGACGCTCCTCTTCCTTAGGTAGCGCGTTAAGCGAGGCAACCCCGCGCTCCGCAGAATCACCTCCACCTGCCCCCGCTCCGCCTCGCTCCTCGCCTGCCGGGGGGGGGGAAGCAACCGCGCCCCTTCTCCGTCACGTGTGGAGCAAACAAATCCTACCGCGGCCGCCCTGCTCCACCTCCTTGGCCCCGCCAGACGGCTCCATCGACTCCGCTCCGGGCGGCCGGCAGCGCCATGAAGATGCACTTCAGCATCCCTCTCTCCGAAGAGCTGCTGGAGAAGTTTGGCGGCCGTTACGTGGTGGAGTAGCTTCCCTTAACGGGGAGGGAAGGAGGGGTGGATCCCGACACGAGGGGAGGCGGGAAGGGCAGTGCCAGACCTTGCCAGGTGCTCCAGCGCGAGCCATGCTCTGCTCCTCGAGCGCTCCGCGGTCGATGCCCCACGCGGGGGGGAACTGTGCCCTCGGCCCCCAGTTGCCTCATCCAGGCGAGAGCCCTTGTCGGGAAAAGGCGGAGGGAAGCGGAGTGCGCCGGGTGGGGAGGGACGGAGCGAGGCGGAGGGGGGGCATCAGCAGGTGGATTTGATGGCCGACGATCCCGTTTAAAGGAGGTGGGGGTGGGGGTGGGAGGATCAACAGTTGGGCAGCGCTGGCGGCCTGGAAGGGATTAAGACAGTCGTGGCGACCCGGAGAGTGAGCGTGCCCCACCCATTCCTGCAGCCCCGAAAGGAAAGGAAGAAAGGAGAGCAAAGATGGTTCTGTGGGGCGGGAGCGCAGCTAGTGCCCGCGCGAAGTGTGGGCTGGGCGGCGTGGGAGCGTGGTTGCCGGGGGTAAAGACTTCCCTGAGCGGGAGAGCAAGGCTGGCTGGCTGGCTGGCTGGCTGGCCGGCCTGGATGCGCGTTTCTGCGCCTGAGAGGAGAAGCGTCTGTGAGGGGGCTTGAGAGGAAGGGAGGAAAGGGGAGATCAGAAGGAGCTTTCGAGAGGGACCGGAGGGGGGGGGGAGAAAGGAAGGATAGTTTTGATTTGGTTTGACTTGTAACTTCACCAACTTGGCCAGCGCTCAAAGCTGCCGAGGAAATAACACGTACAAACAAGTTTATGACAGAAATTGGAATGAACGCTCAAATAGGTACTAAAAATCACAACGGAAGTGTGGGAACAAAAAGAGAAAAGACAAGTGTTCTTGTGCTGTGCTTGTAACACTCCTATCAGGTGATCTGTGAAAATTCACAAGCTTCCTTTTAATTTCCTTGGCAGGGTGGGATATAGTTTAACATTTATTCCTTTAGAATATTCCAGACTGAAGTAATGGGTATCTTTTCTGGAATAGAACTAGTCCCGCATTTCTCAATCTTGGCAACTTAAAATACTGGGTGGAAAATTCTGGTAATTGAAGTCTGCCTGTCTTAAAGTCATTGAAGCTGAGAAAGTCTGACTTAGTCTCAAGATCCAGTCCTCCTGAATAAAAAGATGGTCAAGCTATAACAAATCTGTGCGCAAAGGTATTCATGATGTGTGTGTGCAGGGCTTTTTTTTTCTCATAGAACGCCCAGAATGGAGTTCTGGCACCTTTTTTGGATGGAACCTTGTAGGGTAGGCAAGGCGGGTTGTATGATGTGTGTGAGGTCCGGCACCTATTTTTTAAAGAAAAAAAGCACTGTGTGTGTGTGTGTTTGTGTAAGAAAAGTCAAAATGATGACCACAATGATGCAATCAAAACCCTTTTGTTCACACCTAGTGTGATTGTGGCTGCCACTATGAGTTGGGGCATGCCAAGGTCAATTTTGGTCCACAGGAATGAGGTTCCTCTTTCTTGGCCGGTAGGAATGCAAGGTTGAACACAACTGATAGCAAGTGGTGAGTTCCGTTAACAATCTATTTAGACACTGTGTATTTTCAGCTATATTCTGTATATCTGGAGGGCTTCCTTTTCTGCAAGTTACGTTACAGTCAGTTGCATCGCTGGAATGAACAGGTAAGATGAAGAATTCATTCCCTTTATTTTTTTTCCTCATCCAACCACTTTTCTTGGGGTTTTTTTATTGTCTATCAGAGAGCCACAAGACAAATGGTACTTTTATAACATTGATTGGTTTGTTTGCCTAGGCCCTAGGGTCATTGACACAGTTCAGGCTTAAATTTTGCACCATGTTTGACATCTTTCTAGCTTTGTACATGAAAGAAATGTTCACACATTAGCAGTTTATTGCTGCATGAAACTTTGTGTGTGTGCAGGGACATACAACAGTAGAGGCTCTCCACTTTGCCTTTGGATAATATTCCCTTAGAGCAGGGGTAGGCAACCTCGGCTCTTTTATGACTCATGGACTACAACTCCCAGAATTCCTGAGTCAGCTATGCTGACTCAGGAATTCTGGGAGTTGAAGTCCATGAGTCATAAAAGAGCCGAGATTGCCTACCCCTGCCTTAGAGTATTTTCAGAACTGGGGCTTTCCATGAAAGAAGTGAGGACCATACATATCAAAACTATGTTCAGAAAATAGGTCTTTAGTGTAAATAATACCATTGTTATTGAACCTTTAATTATTCCAATGAAATTATGGAAATAAGAATATCAGCCAGAGAAAGAAAAGTTTCTTTGTCCTTTCACCAAATTGTGTATCTGTGAAGCAGATCAAAAAAGTCAAAATTGCAGTTGTAAGAATGCAATGAAAGACCCACTTTCTTTTCATATAGTGAGCTACATGTAAAAAGAGCCCAGACTTCAGTTGTGTGTTAATGGCCAATTTCTTGACTTTCTTGAACTTCTCCACTAGAGAATCTCTTAAAATTGAACAATTGTGCAAGGGAAAGAGAGAAAGAAGAATAAAATGATATTTTTCAATGAGTACACAAAGTATTCATAGAGAATAAGAGAGAATAACAGAGTTAGAAGGGACCTTGGAGGTCTTCTAGTCCAACCACCTGCTCAAGCAGCAAACTCTAAACCATTCCAGACAAGTGACTATCCCGTCTCTTCTTAAAAGCTTCCAGTGATGGAACACCCACAACTTCTGGAGGCAAGTCGTTCCACTGGTTAATTGCTCTCACTGTTAGGATTTTTTTCTTAATTCTGTAGTAGATTTTACTTCTCTCCTTGATTAGTTTCCATTCATGGTTTCTTGTCTTGCTTTCTGGTGCTTTGGAAAATAGGTTGACCCTCCCCCCTCTTTGTGGCAGACCTTGAAATATGGGAACACTACTTACACCACTACATGCATATAAGGACCATAGCAATATGGGTTTGCTCCAAAATTATTATTTTTCTAATAGAAAATAGTTTTACCTTTTGATAAGTTTTAATTGCTATATCTCATCCTGATAGTATTTGTTATTCTTTTTATAAACTGAGACTTTTCTTAAATCTTGCACTCAGTTTGGTTTTATTCTGCCCAATCTAGGTTTCCAAAAATATCTATATACAGTACATTCTTATGTTGCCTATGTATAGTGTCACAAATAGCATTAGTGATTTTTCTTTTATATGACTAATTATCTGCTGCATCATTGAAATATTTTATATCAGTAGATGATGTTTTCACAATATCAAATAGGTAGTGTCATTGAAAGCATTATAAACCTATTAGCCTCTCTTGCCAGGACATCAGATCAGATCTTAAAGACTTTAGAATTGCAAAGCCACTATGAAGATTAGCAAAGCACATCGATGTACACCAACTAGTAGTTATGACACAACTAAAAGTCCATAAATTCACAACACATGAACAGACAAAACCATAGTTTCAAATAGGAATCTGTGAAATTCAAGCTAAATCCAGAAATGCTGAGGAATTCCTGGAAACTTGACACTCAAGACAATATCAGTCATCAGTAGACACATAGAGATAAGCTACCTTTACACAACATTCAAGAGCAATAAAAAACTAAGAAGGAAACAGACCAGAATGCATTCTCTCCAGCAATTAACACCCAGAGAATTAAAGGCAGGGATTAATGCCAAACAATCTACCAGAAAAAGAATACCCTAATCAAGGAATTAACAAGGAGAAACACGCCCATACCAACACTGTCAGACCAAGCTACTGTACAGTATATACCAGTGATGGCGAACCTTTTAGACACTGAGTGCCCAAAAACTGCTCTGCTCCCGCCCGCCCACCTCCCCGTCCTGCTCTGCCAGCCCGCAGGGCTACCTACCACCTCCATGGCCCATCGCAGATCACCCAGGCGGCCCTGCAGTGCCATGGCAGCCACGCCTTCTACCTGCACCCTACAGCATCATCTGGACACAATGGGGCGCAAGGGCAGAGTCTTGTCCCCACTGCCTGGCTGCCATGTCCGTGGCTGGGCTGCTGCGCGCGGACCACACCCAGGGCCGATTCTCTGGGGGGTCTGTTGGTGAGGAGGGGACAGCGGGGGGAGACGGGGCTGGGGCAACAGCACGTGTGCCCATAGAGAGGGCTCAGAGTGCCACCTCTGGCACACGTGCCATAGGTTTGCTACCACTGGTATATACTGTAACCAGAGAGCAAATTCCACACTGATGTTGTTACCTAGTTGGGTAATGACTAGATAATGACTCTGCAAACAAGCAACCTAGTTCAGAGAGTATCAAGGACTGCACAATTCAACACTGAGTTGCATATATTCTCTTCTGTTGGTAACATAAGAACAGGCCAATTCAGATCTGTTATGAAGGCCAATATCCTTAAAGGAAGTAACCTTTGGGAATTTATTAATGCACATCTTCAAGTAATAAATACTTGATATTTGCTAACAGATTAGTACCATTTAAAGATTATTTATCTTTTCAGCTAAGACGAGTCTTTGGAAAAGGAATGCCTTCGTTTCCTCCAAAGTTTTACCTTGCAATGACAAAGTCAATGGCTGATGAAAGGAGAACGCAGCTAGAACAATATCTACAGAATGGTATTACCAAATACTACTTTGGCAACTGATTTTTAATGAGCGTTCAAGCAAATACTGAATTGGGCATGCTATGATTTCATAAACCTAGAAAGGGGTTGGAAGAAATTGTGCAGAAAAAGATGTTTTAGGTGACTTGGACTTTAAAGGATATTTATCAGCAGATATATTGGGCTGCATTTAGTGCAGTTCTTAAGGGCCAGGAATTCTGCACCAGCTCCTTCCTACTGGAGCTCACTGGGTTTTTTGAACAGTCTTTCATGAGGTTTTGGGACTCTCAGAAAATGCTGTAGTTGAATGGGGAATCCAGTGATATTTGGAGTGGAAGTTCTGACCTCAGAAAAATCTGCAGTCTGGAAAAAAAAAAAGCACAGAGAATTCACCTTGTACAAATATTCTAAACTGAATCTAATTTCTCGAGATTAAACATTAATCTGTAGGTAATGAAAGAAAACACTTCATTTATGAAAATCTTAAACTTCCTTTGAGTTATATATGCCTTTATCAAAACTTTAATTATTTTATATAAATTATGCATATTTTTTTCTTTGTTGATCATCTGTTGAATATTTTAAGATATATTTTCTATTCTATTGCAATTTCTTCTATTTCAGTTTCCGTTGACCCAAGTGTTACAAACAGCGATGTCTTTATTAGTTTCTTTAGGAAATTACAGCAGGTAAGGTTTTTTTGTTTCAAAGAAAGGTGGTAAGAGAAGGACAGTTACTTGTGCTCCTGTCCTTATAGACTAGAAGCTAGTTTGTTGTTACTGAGGTCTATAATAAAATATTTAAATATGGAGTACTGACGTTCACTATATCAGCCAGCCATTTTCTGTTCCTCTGTTCTTTTTGTCCAGCTTGTCTCCACCCACAGCAACAGTCAGCCAGCATTTTGTGTGTATTAGTATGTGTAGTCCTTAATTTATTACTGGTATTGATCCTGGAATTACAGCAATCAATTGTGCTAATAAATAGTAATAAATTGTTAAGTGGATCATCATGTGACCAACTTGATTTTGCTACATTTTTTTGCAGTGGTCATTAAATGAATCACCAGGGTCATCTGTGGTTGTTAAGTGAACCCATTATCTACAGTGGGCATCGTTTGAGAGAAACCAAAAGTAAATGCTAGTTTCTGGCAAAAAAAAAATTAATAATAAGCTGTGGACATGCAACTGCAGGACACCGCATATGAACATAAATGTGAGCCGGTTGCTGAATGCTCAAGATATGATCACATGATGGGGGGGCTGGGGAATTGAATTAATTTGAGTCATAAGTATGTTTTGGGGTCAATCATAACTTCAGTTGGTAAGTAACCAAACGTAAGTCAAGGACCACCTCTATGTTCATCTGTGAGCTGTTCTTAATTACTTTCTTCTATATGGCAGATATTGAATTCAAACTGTTTTATCTTTTGGAAGTTATTCTTAAAATTAACCATTTTAACCTTATTACAGGCTAAAAATAAGAGCTATACACTCAGCGATAAATTGCTACTTTTAAAGCAGCTCAAACACAGGGATTTTAAAAATAAACACTAACACGTGAGGTTTTCAGTTTCATAATGTTCTTTATTAGAATATACCATGAGGTGTTTTTTTCTTGCATTCAGTTGACCGGAGGAAGGTTTTGCTATAAAAGACCTGATATCTTTTTAGTCCCTTAGGGACCAGTTTGAAAGCTTCATTAAAGTATGATAAGCTTCTTGAGATCTGGCATTAAATTAAAGTAAATATTTTGGACTTGTGGCAGGACAAGAGGTGAGAGGTGTGTTGACGTAAAAATGTCAACATCTCCTTTATGTTACCAGAGCGGTGTCACTTACCACCTGATACATACTTGAAGGCATTGTGTAGCATTCTTGTTTCTGATTTCCCCTTGGCTGAGAAGTTGAAAGAAGTGTGTCAACCTCTTTATGGGACATTCAGTGTGTATTATGGGACATTCAGTGTGTATTTCCAAGCAATAGAATTTGATGGAGGCCCCTGCTATATAAAACCATAAGCAATGTCCTGCTGGATTGGACCCCCCTCTAGTCCAACACTCTGTTCTCTCAGAGTGGCCAAAAACTGAAAGTCCTCTAGTCTCCTACTGGTTGACCTTCAGAGGCCATCATACCAACCATCAAGGCTAATAGCCATTGATAACCATTACTTCCAAGAATTAGTCCAAGTCTTTTTTTTTTTTCCGGAAGCAGCCACATTAGTAGTCAGCAGCACAACTCATAAATTCCAAAGTTTAATCACACATATATACACACATACACATATATCATCATCATTTTAACCACTGTCTATCCACTGCAGGATGAAGGCATCTTCCGCATGTTTCCAACTTATACGGTCCTGAACTTTCTTTTCCCAATTGGGCCTGCAATACTTGCTGAAAATATATATATAAATACATACTTACATACATGATATAATTATGCTGCTATGTTAACTGATGCATCATTTGGAATACCCAGTAGCTTTGCTAGTTACGTTTGGATGGTTTGCCAGTTTTCCCACTAAAATGAGATGATTCAAATGGGGCAGAGATTGTGCCAGTACAGAGGAAACACTTCTGCTCTTCTAGTGTGTAAATCACATCCTATCAATGGCAGATCTTTAAAGTAAAGTCAATAGTGAAAATTTTAAAAAGGCCTTCTGCCAGTGAGCTCTAGTTCATGCTTCTCTATCAGAGCCATAAAAATATAATATTGCCAATGTCTTTTCCTATACTACTGGTGTAGTGACACTTAGTGACCATTCAAATTTATGACGCACCTCTCCAGAGCTATTTACAACCTGATTTCCAAGTTCTGAGAGATGTTTCCCTATCATGGTCACATTTTGAGTGCTTAGCAACCAGCCCACATTTACAACTGTTTGCAGCATCTCATCATGTGATCACAATTTACAATATTTTTTGCCACAAACTGGTGTTTACTTCCAAGTGGCTAAAATGCATTCACTTAACGATCATGATATTTGCTTAATGACCCCTGCAAAAAAGATCATCAAATCGGTCACGGTTACATGTGACCTTCTTAATAACCAGTATGAGATTTACGACTGTAATTCCGGGCTGAATGTTTACACCTGTTACGCATGCATGCAGAAAGTGTATACAACTCATTCTCCTTCTCCCCTAATGAAGGTGTAGGAATCTTCACCTATGGATGCTTATAGCTGAAACTCTTCTTCATTTGTCAAAATAATTTCCCCCTTTTGTGCTTTCAAGGAGGGCTGCCTGCACTCTCTGTAGATCCTCTGTAAATTTCTTCCTAAGAAAATATCCACGTGCTTTGGTTTGCAGAGTTTTCTCTTTCCTGTCTTTTGTGTTGTGTGCTCGTTCCATATGAGTTGAGAAGCATAAAAGGACTGCCAAGCTGTAATTTATCGCCTGTCACGTGGGCATGTGGTTGGCATATCACTGGCATAATCTCTGATTAATGGGATCTGGCCATTTTTCTAGGGATATTGTCTTGCCATTTTCACATCATTTTAAACTGTTTCCCTTTAAAGTCTTGGTACATTTGTAAATAATATAAGGATTGTTCCAATAGTTTAATGGGAGCCTCTGTTTCTCTTTTCACCCAGAGCACTACATCATAGGATTGCTCTATAAAATAAGCATAGTAAGCATTCCTGATGCTGTAATTAATGACAGCACAATCAAATTGCTGGAATATAATGAATATGGCAAACAAATATTCTTATTCTATTTCAGTCTAAACAAATAAAATTAAACTTCATGATTAGTCCTGGGAAATGGTTTGCAAATGATATAGCATTCAATATTGCTAACTTTTAATTAAGCGGTTGATGAATATCTCAGGTATTGTTTTAATTATCAAATTTGCCACATTATTTCCTAAAAGCATTGGCCAAGACTTGTAATTTAACATTTGCATGTTTTATCCTTGTGTGTTAGTGAAATTGTGCGCCCAGCTGGCATATTTTTTTCACTATGTCTTTTGGCTAAATGAGACTGATGTGGACTGATATAGGTTGTTGCTATTATTATGATTAGTTACACAGTCAGTCAGATATTTAGACAGGATGTGGCATTTTGGTCTACCTATCAAGTCCCTCCCAAGGACCTGGGATAGGCAGATAGTCTTGTTGGATGGTGTTAAAGGTATCATGGCAGAATATAAGCTGTTCCAAATAAAGCTGCCTCTTGCAATTGACTGATGGTGATTTTGTAATGCCAATGGTGTTTGAATGATGCTCCAGTTTTATTGCACCCAAGGTGCCTATTAGTATTGGTACTATTTTTGCTTTTCTTTGCCACTATTTGTAGGTCTCAGTATTTTGTGATTTTTTCCAGTTCTTTTTCTTCTATTCTGCTTTTTCCAGGCACATCTACATCCACTATGCAGAATTTTTTGTCTTTCTTAGCAACAGTTGTTAGTCTAAAATGTTTGGCAGGTGCTTGTTTGTTTGAATTCTAAAATCCTAGAGCACTTTAGCTTGTTTGTTTTCTATTACTTTGTCTATTTTGTGACCCCCCTCCCCCAGTTCTTGTTTGCAATCAAATGGTATTTTCTGCAGATCCTCCAATGCCTCATTATTGCTACTTTGTCATTGTCACGCTTTGTTTCTAGTCAGCCTGTGCAACCTTGCAGCAGCTAACTTGGTGGTCCAATGTTTCTTTGTTATAAATTTGATTTGCATGGCTGCCCATGACCATCCATCTCACTCTGGGCAGTTCACCACAACTAAAAACAAACCAATAAAACCAATTTAAAAAATCAATATACAAACATAAAAACTGTCCATAATCAATTTCAAAACAGAAAATCATGATCAGCAGCATAATTCCATCTACATCAGCTCAGTAAAGCCACTGTAATGGCTTCCTGCCATGGCTGCACCCACAGGCCCTGCAGCAGAACCGTATCTTCGGGGTCTTCCTAAACATTGGGAGGGTCGGGCTCATTTTTGGAGGAGGGGTTGTCATTTCACAGGGCAGATGCACAACAGAAAAGACTCTTTCTGGGTCCACTAATATAGCATACATAACAACAACAACAACAACAACAACAACAACAACAACAACGTTGGAAGGGACCTTGGAGGTCATCTACTCCAACCCCCTGCTCAGGCAGGAAACCCTATACCATTTTGGATAAATGGCTGTCCAGTTTCTTCTTAAAAACTTCCAGTGTTGGAGCATTCACTGCTTCTGGAGGCAGGTTGTTCCACTGGTTAATTGTTCTAACTGTCAGGAAGTTTCTCCTTAGTTCTAGGTTGCTTCTCTCCTTGATTAGTTTCCATCTGTTGCTTCTTGTCCTACCTTCAGGCGCTTTGGAAAATAGCTTGACTCTCTCTTCTTTGTGACAGGCCCCTGAGATATTGGAACACTGCTATCATGTCCCCCCTCGTCCTTCTCTTCATTAAACTAGACATATCCAATTCCAGCAGCCGTTCCTTATATGTTTTAGCCTCCAGTCCCCTAATCATCTTTGTTGCTCTTCTCTGTACTCTTTCCAGAGTCTCAACATCTTTTTTACATCGTGGTGACCAAACCTGGATGCTGTATTCCAAGTGTGGCCTTACCAAGGCATTGTAAAGTGGTATTAATACTTCACGTGATCTTGATTCTATCCCTCTGTTAATGCAGCCTAGCACTGTGGTGGCTTTTTTGGCAGCTGCAGCACACTGCTGGCTCATATTTAAATGATTGTCCACTAGGACTCCGAGATCCCTCTCACAGTTACTACTATTGAGCAAGGTACCCCCTATACCAGTGGTTCTCAACCTTTCTAATGCTGTGACCCCATAATACAGTTCCCCATGTTGTGGTGACCCCCAACCACTTATACATCACTGGGTGCCAGGGACGTGGCCAAAGAAAAGGGGGGAAAAATGGCAGACAGCCTTGTTTGGTGACCTCCGTGAAATGGTCATTCGACCCCAAATGGGGTCCCGACCCACAGGTTGAGAACCACTGCCCTATACTATACCTGTACATTTGGTTTTTCTTGCCTAAATGTAGAACCTTACTTTTTTCACCATTAAATTTCATTTCATGTCATTTCAATAGGAAAACTGATATATGGAACAATAATAAATTTTATCAAAGCATAAATGCCATTTGTACAACAATCCATAATTTGAAATATATAGCATATTATATATGATAATATAATAATTATCAAATGAATGTAGTGGAAATGTTCTGACATCCTAGTATATTCTTTTATAAGGTATTTTATAGATTGTCTAGAAACTTTATTAGCAATAAATTTATGAACAATTTTATTGCACCTTTTGTTCCCCTATGTAAAATATTTAGTTTTTGCCTGAACATTATAAATTCAGAAAAATGATTGGTTTCTTGGAAAAAGTGATATAAGCTTAATGATTCCTTTACCTTTCCCCTAGTCTACCACTAAAATACTTTTTCTTGAAATAAAGCTATGTTTTCAGCATACTTATGAGACCACCCATCAATGCCTTCAACATTAAGCTTTCATGTCTTGCAGGAAACATTTAAAATCCAAACCCAACAAGCTTTTTTGGATGTTTATCTTCCTGATGGAAGGTATCTCAGGATTGATATTCAGACATCAGACACTGCTGAAAGAGTGCTAGAGGCAAGTAATATATACACATTGATCTGGCAGCATCTCATATGAAGTGTGTCCAAGCATAATTAGCAGCCTTCCCATTTTTGAAATATATTGTTACAGATGCCTCATAAAACAGCAAATGGGCTTACACATCACACAAAGTGAGGGTTTCTTAATTGTGGTTTATTGGTTTATTGAATAATCCATAAATTTTAAAACCCAGCCAGTATGGTTTGTGCAGCATACGTTGGAATTACTATACAGAGCTATCCTCAGGATATGGTTTAAAAAGTAATACAAAAACGGGTGGAGTTTCAGTTGTATTGCTGTGGCCACCATCTTGTCTTTATAGACCATGCCCTGCAGACACCCATAGTGATTGAATGTATAAACCATAGTGATTGAGTGCTAAGACACAAGCCAACCCAAACTGGTTTAGGATTCAACTTATTTTCTCAGGCCAGAGTGTGTTGTGACTACCTAAAGAGATAGGCCAGTCAACAAAGTGCTTATTTGTCATGACAATACTTGGGGTTTCACCAGAGAGCACTTGGGAAGGTTTTTTAATTTTTTAAAAAATTTACTTAAAATATTTTATCCCACTATCTGAAAAAGACTTGGGAGAAAAAAAATGTTTTGTATTCATATTTCCTGCAGGAGAGAATTTGTAAAGATACCTACACACAGTCAGCAGAGGCAAGAGTTTCTCACTAATTTTTTAAACAAAACAGCTATGGAACTTAAAATAGTTAATTTGATAACTAACTCAACAGTTTAAGGAGAAAATGCATCTTTTGTTTTCCTCCAGGTGATATCATACAAGATTGAACTTTCTAGGGAGCTAATACAATACTTCAGCTTATTTCTTATTCAAGATCACAACAATGGACAAATATCCAGTAAGAAATCATTTGTGTAACACACATTACTTTCATGTTGCATGCCATCTGTATACAAGCAGTCCTTATTTAATACCATAACTGGTCACTTAGCAATCTTTCCAAGTTACAACAGGCTCCCCAATCCAGATATAAAGAGCCAACATTTCCCCCCCCCCCACCCCTGTGGTCATGTCATTGCATTTGAAGCCTTTGGTAACTAGCTTGAATTTAGGGCAGTTTGCAGTATCTTGCAGTCACATGACCACAATTTACAATTTTTTTAAAGTGGCATATTTAGTTACTGAAGACTAAGCACAAGGCAGGCAGAATCTGGGCCCCAAATACAAAATCTTACCTTTAATTATACGAAACACAACAAAACATCCATTTTCCAGAGAGTGGCAAATTGATTATGCTTAAGCTCAACCCGCAGAAAATTCATCCAGCATCTTTCAACCTATAAATAGTGCAATTCAAACAATTCAAATATATTCATTTTCCCCATCCCACCATGCCGGCAGATCAAACAAACACACAGGGGATATGAAAAAACTCCAGGTTCCCTGCTCCCAATATAATACCTATTGCTAAAACTTATGGCTAGGAAGACACATTTGAAAGTAAATGGGGAAAATCTGCTAGTATCTTAGAATCTCGACAGGAGATTCTAAGATACTAGCATATATGAGTAAGTGCTCCTTGTTTCTTCCTATGATCAGCAGGTTTGCATAATTTATAAAAATCACAAAAGTCAGCAGCTTGTGGCACATACACAGAATACTTAGCACCCCACCAATCTTGTGTTTAATTAACACTACATTTAGATATAAATGTATTTCTTTGTAATAGCATTAAAAAAATCAAAATGTTTTTTCCCCCTTTCTTCTTACCCATACCTCTCCAGTGTTGAAAAAACTAGCAGAATTTGAACTTCCTTATGTGAGTCTCCGGAGTGCAAAAGAATCGGCTTGTAAGATTGGGATCAGAAAATGGTGAGCAAGAAGCAGAAATGAAATTAGCAAGAAATATTTTAAAAATACCAGTGTGCTGGAGGGGAAAAATCATAATATGAGTTCCATATATATTACAGCTTGTGGGATAGTAATTTGGCACTTTCTAAATGCATTGAGAGCAGTACATTCAAAATTCCCCAAAGTTCAGAATTGTCATATCAGTCAATGTATCAGAAATATTATTGGACAGCATATCTGAAGTGGAAATCAAATCCAAATTGTCCATTAGAATCTAATTTCCACCCTATGTTTGTATTGTCCATTAAAGTCCATGGTTGGAAAATCTGGTAAAGACCCTGGTGGAGCCTTTTTCATAAGAATTAAAGAACATTGAAAAATATGTGGCCAGTTACATTTTTTTCTCCAGCACCTAATGAGTTTTTTCACTAATTCTATAAACATAGTATCATAATTGAATATAGATTTATCTATTGAATATGTAATAGATTCATCAGTCTGATAAATAAAAACAAGAACAAAATAAGCTTGTTCTTCTCCATGCGACTTATGTATATCTGTGGTGCTTTTGGCACATACATAAAACCAAAAATACAAAATGATTTTAAGGAATGTATCATACATGTAGTATCAAGCACGATCATAACATGCAATAAAAAGTGTGAACTGGTTGCTTAAATTCAGTTTATTTTTATTTATTTTTTATCTACAATATTTTGGTGACATTTCTCTTTGCATGTATGCCACTGGTTTAATGGCTTCTCTTTCCTTGTACATTATTGGGCAGGTATATGGATCCTTCTTTAGATAAAGTGTTAATGGACTGTAGAACTTCGGTGAACTTACTTTACATGCAGGTATGCTTAAGAAGAAGCATGTCTTTTTGAAAATTGCTAGGCAAATTTTGAGATGAAATGACCTATGATTTATTTATTTGTGAATTAACACAGTTTTTCAACTCTATCCTGCTACTAGCCTACAGAAAGTAAACATATGTATTCTAGTCTAACATTTACTTGCTTATATATTTTGTTTTGGTTTTTTCTCAAAAAAGGTTGTACAGGAGCTAGAGATGAATTGGGTCAAACCTAAAGAGGAACAGAAGCAAAAGCTTCTAATGCTGCAAAAGGCACCAAATAAATTGAAGGTAACATGGTTTTTAAATTATGGTGGTCCTTTTCAGAATATATGTTATCATCCGAAGATACCAGAGAATGCATTCATGTTTAAAGACTTGCCTTTTCTTCAGTTTTATTTGAAGAAGAATATCAACCTCCTATCCATGTGGGTTTTTCAGATTTTTAAACATCAAATTTAGCCATTTAGAAATGAAGATCAAAACCACCATGCTGAACCATTATTACCATAAGTGCTTATGTTTTACCATAGGGAATTCTTAGAACTACAGTCTGCAGATTTTAAAGTTGCCAAGTTTGAAAAATACTGATTTAGAGGAAAGGCAATCGGAATTAAAACAAAGACATTAACTCAGTGATGGCACTCTGGGCTTGGCCTGTCCCAAATCAGAAAATGCCTAACTTGACTATGCTGGCATGTCACCCCACTAGGCGAACAAAAGCAAAACAACTCTCAATCTTCCCCACATCTACCTTGAACAGAGGTAGATTGTACCCTGCCCAGGCCTTGACCTCAGCCCTAGGGTCACCATTGCCACTCAAAAAGGCCACTTTGCATCATTCCCCGAGGCTCATGAACCTTGCCTCAACAGTCCAGTGCTCTCCAGGATCTGCCACACACTATTTACCTTCAGATGGTATGCTCTTACTCTTGAGAGGCCCCTGTGGGACCTGGAGCACCTGAGGCTGCTCCAGGTCCACAAGGACCTTGGTTTTTGAAACAGCTTTGTAGAATGAACTTCCATTGCCTCTGCAGCTTTTGTGAGGCTTTGGAGGCTGCATGAGAGCATGGTCCTCTCCTGAAACTTCCAGAGGTCTGGAGGCTGAGCAAGAGCACACCCCATTCTTGCACAACTCTTTCTTCAGTTTCTGAAAAACATAGGATATCCTTTCAAGAATAGTTGTCAGGTTTTGGTGAAATCTGGTATGGCACCCAAAATATTGTGGCATGTCACCTTTGACATGCATGTCATAGGTTCACCATCACTGGATTAACTTGTTCTTCTCATATCACAGCCCATGCAAGCTGCATGGAGAGGAAGCAGCCACTGAAAGCTATGGCTATTTGCATCAAACCATCGATGGCAGCCTTGGGAATGATGCTGAAGATATTTATCACTGTGTTTACTACATTTCTAGGTCACCTCATTCTTGATTTCCCAACTAAGGCTTTTGTTCAGTAGAGTGAAATATTGTCATGCAACAGCAGTTAATATACTCATTGTAATATATAGTCATCCGCATTTTTGAAAGTGGATGCATAGATATTTGGTTTATAGAAGCCAGGTATTTCTAGAATGTTACAGATAAAACTGCTATTCTATGCAAATTATTTAACTATTCTCAGTTTAATTTTTTTGCAAGATTTAGCCAAATTAAGTCCATATAACAAATATTACAGTGAAGTTTACTAGGAAGAATTTCCATTTTGTCAACTTAACTGTAAATTATCAAGCAACCTTCTCCTATGGCAGTGGGATTTCTCCTTAATATCCCTACCCCCATTTTCTGAATCCCCCCAGAGTTCCAGTGAAGTTGAGTGATTCGTTCTTATGTTATTGAAGCCCCACCACATTCTTCCCCTCTCTTTCAGAGGTAATTAAACTGAAGACTTGTAAAAGATACTCAGCTTGTAAATGCTTTTCTGTGAAGCTTCCTCAAATTGCAAATGATCTGAAAACTGAAAAGAAAGCTACTTAAGAAAACACACACATCCTTTGGGGTTGGAATAATTAGAGTATATTTGGTATAATTGGATTCATGTTTGGAAGCCAAGTTTTGTTTTTTTTCTTGCAACTGGAATTTATATATTCATACAGGGGTCTGGGCCAGAACTGCATTTAATTATATTGAAAGGATAGCTAGACTTTCATCCGTCTTTACACCAGTGCCTTGATGTTCATAATTTATTTATAATTCACTCCCCCACTCAAATAAGCAAATGTATACACTGAAATTTATGAGCATCTCTTTCCATTTTTTTTTCTAATCACAAGAAAGGGGAAATTGCAACTTACAAGAAATAAATTAGTGCAGAATGCAGAATGTATTCAAACCATTCCTTTTTGATGTCTATTAATTTTTATAAAATGCCTAGGCTAATAATTAAAATTAGAAATTATTATATAAAAATGGGAATAGATTCCAATCTGTTGGAAGCATTGCCTTTTGGTCATTGCTTCTATGGTAGCACCAGCTGGATTGGTTTTGTCTGTCACTGTCATGTCCTTGTTTTTGGAAGAGATGCAAAGTTATTTGTGCAGAAAGAGGCAGGGGACAACAAGGTTGCCAGCAGGAGGATGGCTCCTGTGCAAAGATTGGAGTTTTCCCTTACATTGTCTTGTATCAAACTTTCTTGGGCCCAGGTGAATACAGCCTTCTGATCAGCTTCAGTTCCCTATTTATGCTGTTTGAAATAGTGGTATTCTTCCAATCTGTTTCCTGGTATATACTTAAAAAAGCAAATGCTATAAAATGATGAGCCGAGGTGGCGCAGCAGTTAGAGTGCAGTACTGCAGGCCACTTTAGCTGACTGTGTACAGCAGGTCAGCGGTTCAAATCTCACCGGCTCAAGGTTGACTCAGCCTTCCATCCTTCCGGGGTAGGTAAAATGAGGACCCAGATTGTTGGGGGCAATGTAAATATATATATACATTGCTTACTGGTGTACACCGCTTAGAGGGTGCTTGCACTTAAAGCGGTATATAAGTCTCGTAAATAAATAAATAAATAAACACGAAAGAGAAGCAGAACTTATATACTACCTCATGCTAGACTGGAATTACAATTTTGGAAGAACTAGGGCGTAGATATACCCAGCAAGTTTATAGATTGCAATTCATATAAGAAAATAAGATGTATTTTTTTAGACCTTTATAGAATATGCGGGTGAATTTTGGATATTTAAAACTATTCCCCATGATTACTATAAATTATAGTTTGTAACTGTTGAGGAGAATCTTTAGGAGTTTTTCAGCATCTGAAGATGTAGGAAAGGAATGTATGATGCAAGTTACCTATCCAGAGAATTAAATATATATTGGTGGGCTGCTCCTGGAAAGCACATTTTTTCTCATCAATTAAACATTCCATATAACTTTTGGCATTTGTATTTTCATTGAATCACTGCATTGAATCTCATACTATTCAGTTAGCTGGCACTTGGTCATACTGTGTGATTAGAAAGGACTTTGGAGCCAGCTAGATTCTTGTGAAGTTGGTTGTGTTGGACACCTTTACAGATGTTATGTGTAACCTACTGCTCTCCTCTAGTTGCTGTTTCTCTTGCAGTTTTTAGAGCTGGTTCGAGAGATCCAGCATTATGGATATATACAACTTGCTCCTTGTTCCTGTGACTACCCTGAAGTTGGTTGTACTGCCACTATTCATGTGGGAAATAATGAAATTAGCTGCTGCATAAAGTTGCCTAGCAATCAGATCAAAGAAGTCAATTTCAAGATCAACAGGATAAGGTGCTGGCAGGTCACATTTCTTGTAAGTACCGTGCTGAACTATTGATTGCTGCTGCTGCTGTACCTCCAGAAGTCCTGTTATGTGCATTAATATTCTTACTTTATAGACTGTGAACAATAACATATAGCCCATACATAGATTCTGTGTGTGTATTTGCTATATCATGAACATATGGTAAGAAGCTATTTGTGCAATCATTGTATGTCATCACTGATCACATATTAATTGGGACATTCTTCTCCAAACTCATATTCTCCATGTGTGTTGAAATTGCAACTCTCAGAATTCCTCTCAGCCACGTAGGCTGGAATTTTTGGAATTGTATTTCAAACATATTGACACTACCAAGTTGGGAAAGACTATTAGGAAATGCCATTTATAACCCAGGCCAATGATCCCTAAGAGACTAATGTAAGCTTTGAGTGACCTGTTGGTATTGGCTAGGCTCCATTTGATTTTTTAAAAATTATTCCCACCCCCCCAAAAAACAAAAATAAATGGGAAACAGGCAAATGGCTATCCTCAAGTATCTTTATTTCCAAGAATGTGGGTGGGCCCTGCCTATACTGCCTAGGCTTAGACTTAGACTTTCTAGACTTAGAAATAAAAGTCAAAATAAAAGGGATTCAGGTCTCTGCTTGTTTGGGAATATGCACAATGGCCCTGAAAAGACAAAGTTAGACGATCTGGTAAGGAACCGCTTCATCAGCTTGTTTTCAGATGCCAGCTGTTTGTAACATGCACTCAAAATGCCAACATATCCACTGATACCAAAATGTTTTGAATCCCTGTTGTATAGGCTGAAAAGAGAAGAAAATAAACGGGTTATTTTTAGTAGTTATTCCTACTTCTTGATTAGCAGAATATGATGCAAATATGACATTGAGATGTTTCTCCCAAATGTTCTTTTTTTTCCTTCTGAGTAGTCCTATAAGGACTCAGTTTCAGATTATAAACTTCAAAAATCTGTTATGATTTCTGGTACTCACAAGAGCTGGTATTTCTTGAAACACATCAAACATCTAAATGGCAAGCATGAAGCATCCCTGGGCTGTACAGGTATCCTCAACTTACAGTCATTTGTTTAATAACTATTCAAAGTTACAGTGGCACTGAAAAAAGTGACTTACAACTGATCCTCACACTTAAAACCATCGCAGCATCCCTACGGTCATGTGATCAAAAATTGGGCACTTGGCAACCAACATATATTTACAAAAATTGCGGTGTCCCAAGAGCATGTGATCATTATTGGCAACCTTCCCAACCGCCTCCCAACCAGCAAAGTCAATGGGGAAAGCTGCACTTGCTTAATGAGCACATGATTCACTTAACAAATGCAGTAATTCGTTTAACAACCATGCCAAAAAAATATATATCACAAAATCAGGTATGACTCACTTCATAACTGTCTTGCTTAGTAACTGAAATTCTGGTCCCAATCGTGGTCATAAGTTGAGGACTACGTATATTCCAAAAAAGCTAGAGCAGATGTAGTGAAATCTCCAGCCCACAAACCAGGTCTCCATCTGGCTCATGAATGCTTCCAGGGAAACCTCTTTCCCTTCCTCAAAATTCCACCTGCAGGGCAGCAGAAATCACTCACTGCAAGTCTCTGCAGAAGAAACTCCCCGAGGCCAAATTAGAGTGATTGGCCCTTGCCTTTTTTTTTTTTAATACAGAAAGAAAAGGATTCCCAGGAAAGCATTAACAGTCTATCTATTGTTGCTGGCTGGAAGAATCTGCCCTTTATTTGCCCTTATTTTTTACAAAGGCCTCCTCGTTAATGTGGTGATCTAATCACAGCCCAAGAAAAAGACAGTGAGCAACTTAGAATCCCATCAATTAATCATGATTTTAAACTGTTGGCTATACATGCATGTCTATATATTTTATAAAAGGGTGTGAAAAAGGACATTCATTTTTCAAATTTCTGCAGTTTATCCTCATTCTCATGGTGGAGTCCTTGATAGAATCTTGTAGTATCACAAGCCTCTGAGCTAGGAAGATCTTTTCTGATATTTTATTCAAACTTGGGGCTGCCTGGTGATGGAAGGTAAATCTGGACTCTGCAAAATAGAAACATGATCCTTCAAGTCAGTTCCTTCCAAAATATTCCTGCTAAATTCAAGAAAGGACATTTTTCAGGATCACAATGCCCAGGTTTTAAGAGTCTGCAAATACTGAATTTAAATGGTTATGAGCTGCTTTCTTTTATTATTATGCTCTCCGTTTTCTATCTGACATCTTAACATTATATATCTTAGTTGTTCTACAAAGCATATGAAGCCAGGTCCTTGTTCTTTTTTCCTGCCTTGGCAGAAGTGACTTTTCTCTATAAAAAGAATCACATGGTCTAGATGGGAGAATTTAAGATATACTGTTATATGGCTTTTATTGTTCTTGTTATTCTTTTCCAATTTGACTATTCAGGGATCAGTTTTAGGCCACGGACTTGATCAATTCTTGGAACTCAGAATTGAGTACAATGAATCCGATAAGTGGAGATGGATTGTCTTCAATACAAAACAGGTTTGTTTCGGTTTATATACAGTAAAAGATTATTATATGGCTGCATAAATATCAGGGTTACTAATCTTTTCCAGCCCAGGTACACATTCCTGTTAATATTGATCCAAATAAGGTTTCAGCAAATCCTCTTTCCTAAATGACTAAATATTTTACAAACAAAAATATATTTTGCCTCTGAGTTACATCTCTTCCCCCTTTCCCTAACTGGTTACAAGACATAGGGTCTTTTTTTGTTCACTTCAGGATAGATTTGGTAGGGTTTATTTCATATGGTAATAAATTGGAGGGGAAAAAAAAAACATACGATATCTCATTTAGCAACCAATCCAGAATATGTAAACATCAGCTGGGATTTTTTAAAGGATGTGTTTGATTAATAAACAACTTTTTTCTCCAAATAATTACCTATGGATTGAAATGATCATATTACTGATGAACTGGAGGAGTAAGACAAATCCATTCATTGAAAAGAGAACTATGTGGAAAACAGGTGAATGTGCAGTTCCTTTATCTGGGAAGAGATGCTTGCCCAGTGAATTAAAGAATATCATCTAAATAGGGCTTTATTTCTTTTCTTCCTTCTGTATTTAATTTCCTGGAAAATCTATCCTGCTCTCTCTCCTGAGTTTTTGGATTTTGGCTTTTTTGTGCTGCGTAGGTAGAAGGAGGGAAGACTGATTATAGTTGTAGTTGGCAACTCTTGGTTCACAAGTTAGAAAGCTGGGTGTTGCACTTTTTTTTTTTATAATGTTTATAATTTGGAGGGGTGTGTTTTCAATTCACCACCACCTTCAAGTAAATCACAGGCTGAGACTAATATAAACTATAAAAAGGAATTCAGACTTTTAATGAAAACTTAATTTCATCTTTGTAGGCATTTCTTCTAAGCAGTTGCTTAAAAAAGATAATATCAGAGCAGCTGATGACAACAACCAAGAATGATCAAGAGATGGTGAGCAAAGTTGATAATCTAATTTCATTGAACATTGAGGTTAAGTTATTGGCAGTATCTTTGTAATGCCATATGATGACCTACTGTGGGTATATCAGTGATTTTCTTGTGGCTTTCTTGCCATAATATTCTATGTTTCTAAGAGGAAGATTCAGTAAAAAGGAGGATCTCCACATGTGGATTTTGAGCTTGTTCCAAATGTGCTCTGAACTTGTGTGATTATAAAGTGTTGGATTCTTTCGTGTGCTGAGGTGATATTTTCCTGACTTGTGTTGATTATTAGATATCAGAGCAAAGCTGGCATTATCTCTCCAGTCCTATGGCTTCCGGTTGGCTCTGTTCCCATTAACAGGATCCCATCACCTATTTTCTCCTCATTCTCTCATTCTCCCACCAGAACTAGGGGAGTACAAATCATTAAGTTCCCACTTTGTTCTCTGCTTTTCAGAATCCATGAGTGCTCAACTCTCTTTTGGTAAAACAGAGAGAAGTAATAATGCTGCACTGTAGTAAATCCTGGGTGGGGTGGGAGTGCAGGCAGCCTTTCTTTTACAAGTCCCATGGTTCATGTTGTCATATCAGGTGCCTGTACCAGTCACTGAAGGCTCCTTTCTTCAGCTTCTAGGCTCAGTGCCTGAGTCTTCTGGTGTTGCACCTGGCTGGTTTTCTGGCTAACATCCAACAACCCCCCTGCACCTCTCATTTGCTGAGGCTGTTTCTCTCAGTCCAGCTGACTACAAGGAGAAAATGGTTGCTTTGTTAGAAGGGGAAAACATGGCAAATTGTATTAATTGCATTTTATTAATTTATTTGGCTTGGTATGGTCCTCTTCTTTGTTCTAAAATCAGGGGTAGGCAACCTCAGCTCTTTTACGACTCATGGACTTCAACTCCCAGAATTCCTGAGTCAGCTATGCTGATTCAGGAATTCTGGGAGTTGAAGTCCATAAAAGAGCTGAGGTTGCCTACTACCCCTGTTCTAGCTCAACCTTTTTAAAATGTGGTCCTGATATGTTTCTTTATACCTCATGGTATAAAGAATGTTGTATCATCTTGTGTAAGAATTTTTTTAACTCAAATTAATTTCAGTCTTTTTTCTGACCCTTAGCAACAACCATCTTCTATTTGGCAGTAACAAAATGAAAGCAAAACAAAAAACCCCGATTACATACACTTTTCCTTACATACATACATAAATGCTGTTGCTGTAAAAAGTTCTTATAGCAATGATAGTTGCTACCGGTATGAAAGCATCCTTTACAGTTACTTCTCCAATGCTATTCAGTTAAAGGCAGCATATATCTGTCCATATAAGTTTTCCTGTAACTTTATTTCTATTATAACTGTCTTCTAGAACAGTGTTTCTGAACTTTTTTTCCACATGGCCCCCTTCCAACTTCATTTCTCTCCTGCACCCCCCCTCCCTCCCTGTCTTGGTCCCATTACCAGTAAAAAAGATTAACACTTACCCATTTGGCTTGAAAATAGAATATATTTATATTCTATTCTGACAGTATTCGCAGTATAATACATTTTGCCTTTAGCTGATCCCTTTGGCACATGACATGGCCCCAGTTACATGATTTACACCTGTGGCCGCCTTGAAATATCCAAGGCCCTCAGGTAGCCACATGGCCCCCAGTTAAGAACTGCTACTCTAGAGTAATGTATCTGAACCTCAGCATCTTTAAGATGTGTGGACTTCAACTCCTAGCCGGCATCCACTCATCTTAAAGTTCTTGATACTGAAAAACAATATTTTAGAAGGATGTAAAATAGATCTTGACCTTCTATATAGCATCTTTTCAAGTATCTGTCACTGCTAGAACATCTGTTTTTAATTTCTTTCTCAAAAACATTCTTAGCTCCTTCATTTCTGATTAGAGACTAAAACAAAGTCCTTTGGTCATTTTTATTCCCCTGCTCAGATCCTGTTTTAATTTCTTTAAAACTGGAATGATGCAGAAAACTGGACATAGTATTCAAGGTGGGGTCTGGCCAAAGCAAGAACTATTACTATTACTATTATTATCATCATCATCATCATCATCATCTCAGGTCAAGGAAATAAACTTGATGTAACATTCTGACTACCTGTGTTTCCTTTTTGTGTAACGTCCTTTTTCTTTCTTATTTAACCTATCTATTTAGCAGATTGAGCATCCAGAATTAGATACAGCTAAGAAAGTAAGCATCCGCCCAAGTCAGGTTTGTAAATTAAATTACATTATTTGAGTGGGAAAAAGACTGGTTGAGTAGGGGGGGATCTGAGATGACAATTACGTTTGGAAATTTGAAGCTATTAGTGAACTTCATTATCTAATGTTATAAATTGCGTCAACCCATGGCTACTTTTGATCATAGTTAGCTTAATAAATCACTGTTGCTGGATTCATATATAAGTCACAAATCACAGTGCATATAAACCTAGCCATTGTATTCCTATTTTTTCTGATGAGAATGCCTTAAAACAAATATGGATATCCCGGTTTTAGCAGTGTTTAGCCAAGCAATTCTCAGGGACCTCAATATTCCTGTTGGGCAGATTATTAACCATGGGCAAACCATGGAGAACAAGTCATCATTTCTAAGTCTTGATATGGATTGCTGGTTGAGGATAGTAAGAGAACTCTTTACCATGGCTATTAGCAGGGGTGATACAACTGTCTTCCCAAGAGTCAGAGGGTTTAATGCAACAGAGAGGAAACACATTTAACTGAAGTATGTATGTGACTGTGAGGGAATGGGAACACTGAAAAGTAGCCTATTGCAAATCATAATCCACTGGGCAGCCACAAATATGATAGTTGCAATCCCCAAACTTAAAATATTTGCCTTGCAGGATTATTGCAAATGGTCTATGGGACTTCATTGCTAATAAAATGTAGTGGCTGAATTTATTAGGGCATTTCCTGCTTCAAACTTCTGATAGCATCGCGGGTTTTTGTTCCTCATCTACAATTTTTTCTTCTTTAGCTCATAATTGCTAAAAGGGGATACTTGAAGCACAACAACAAATGCAAATACAAATTGTTATACGGATGTTAATTATCTTTTTAGTACAAGATGATATTGTTTGCTGTGCTTAAATTCACTTGCTGCAGTGATAGCCATATAGCATTTGTTAGATCAGATCCCTGAAAATTCTTTTTTTTCCTTTGTTATGATTTAAACATAAGCTCAGTGTGTAATTCTTTCTCTTAATCATAAATTTGGTAGCACTTTTTTGCTTCCCAATGCTTTTATATTGGTTTATGTATCATATTTTTTTTATTCTCTACAGATATTTCATTCTGGTTTTAAGTCAAGAAAATGGCTACAGAGTAGTAGATCAAATGAGGATGACTGTGTATTTGAGAAGATAAGCGAAGAAGATTTGTGATTGACACTGATACAAAGAATATTCATTCTTGCTGGTTTTAAAATATCACTTAGCCAGGATCCTTACTAGCAACTTGCATCATTTAGGGTCCCAGCCATTACAGGTAGTCCTTGACTTGTGACCACAATTGAGCCCAAAATTTATGCTGTTAAGTGAGACATTTGTGAAGTGATTTTGCCCCACTTATGACCTTTATTGCCACAGTTGTTAAGTGAATCACTGCAGTTGTTAAGTTAGTAACATGGTTGTTAAGTGAATCTGGCTTCCCCACTGACTTTGCTTTCAGAACTCTGCAAAATGTGGCCCCAGGACACTGCAACCACATAAATGAGTCAGCTGTCAAGTGTCTGAATTTTGATCATATGATCATGGGGATGCTGCAGTGGCCATAAGTATAAAAAATGGTCAGAAGTCACATTTTTCAGTCCCGTTGTAAGTTGAGGACTACCTGTACTATGTCAAAATTACAAGAGGACAGGTCTGTATTGTTTTAATAACAGTCGATGCAACAGAAGATGCAATGGTCCTCAAGCACTGGGGATCCTGCTGTAGACAATTTGCTACAGCTAGATTTGTAAATATTTTACCCACATATTTGTTTTTGTATTTTTTAAAAAAGACCTTCACATGAGAAATAGACATGTTATTTCTTGGATCAAAATAACACCTTCCGTTCCCTGTAACTGTCAGACAAAATGTATTTAATGTTTGGGCAACCAAATCCTCATTACTGTCCTTTTGGGATACAAACTTTCCAGATGCTTTAATCAGATGATAAATTATGCAATGTACTGAATGATAGCAAGAATGTCCTATGTAGAAAGTATAGCATCTCAGAATCTCCTATTTGAACTGGAACCAACTTTATACAGGCCGAAAATGTATTTGTAGGACGTTTTTACAGCCCTATAATTTCATGTAGGAATTCTTCATTGAAAAATCTACATGTTTGATTACTATTTCCCCTTTTCCTTCTTTGTACTGATAAGTGAAATAAACTACCCTTTGGACTATTGGAATTATTCCAATGCATTACAATATTGTCAAATGTAGTACTTTTGTGAAGAGTTTTAAAATAGTAATGTAATATGGGAGGCACAGTCTGATAAATATTCTGAAAATGTAAAATACTGGTTGCATTTTTTTTAAAGAAACACATTTCTAATATGCTGAATGCAATGTGTCTTAAGAAAATCTATTGCATTGTCTTCCAATGTGGAAAACCTTAGAACAGCAGTCCCGAATCATTCCAGCTTGGCAGACTGCGGGGGAGGGGGGAGTAAGAGATAACATGGTTTTGTGTGAGTGGTAAGTACACGCATCAGTACATGCAACTTCATTTGCACAAGCAGCTGGCGCATGCACCCACCACTCACACAAATGGAGCTGCACACGCACACTCAGTTGCCACTTGCACAGCCTGGTTCCGAATGGGCCACTTCCCAGTAATGGGCCATAGCCCAGGGGTCAGGGACCCCTGCCTTAGAAGTTACATGAAATACTTCCAATAGCATATATGGATTATAATAGATGTTTGCAGAGCTTGGATTGTAATAATTCAAGTAAAGAGTTCTATAGAGGATGGAGCAACTGACAAAACATGTGCTGCAATACAGCCCTCTTTCACTCATTCTCTCGCGGTCACCCCAAGCCACACGGTGCTTCTGCCATGCCTCCTGTCACTTGCACACCTCCTACCATGTTTCCCCAAAAATAAACCCCACTCCCCAAAAAAGACCTACCCTGATTTGTGAGAATGGGCCTAATATAAGCCCTGCTCCGAAAATAAGCCCTAATTAGGACCCTGTCCACTCTGTCCCACCTGGCTGCCACAATGAGGCAGCTGTGAAGTTGGAAGGTCTGACTGAACTTTAGTCTCATGTTTCCCTGCAGCAGGAGAGAAACGCACCAGAACTGGAAAGCAGGTTAGTGAAGAATTTTTTTTGCTTTCAGGAAGAGGGAGGAGCTGGGCGATGGTGCGCCAAGCTCTATAGCAGCGCCAGGAGGAGAAGCAGCAGGAAACGGCTGCCATTTCGAGAATGGAGAAGGGAGATGCGGGGCGATGCAGGGCGGCAAGCAAGTGTTCTTCTCTGTTCTGCATTGCTGCACAGAGCCATTCTCCTCCCCATTCTCCGTTCTCTCCAGTGGCAGTGACGGAGGGCTGGCGGAGGCAGGCACCAGTGACAGCGCAAGCCACAGGAGAATTGGTGAAGGTAGAGGTTGTCGCCAGGCAGGTGATCTGTGGGATGGAGCATGAAGAAAGCCCCACAGCGGCAGCAGAGCCTTTTGCCATCACTCCCCTCTAGCTCCGAAATGGCAGAGGGGGATCAGGTCTACCCCGCCCATCCTCCTTACGGTAGTATGGCAGTCTGGCTCGGGAAGGGAGTGAAGTATATGAAATATGGTTTTTCAGTTGCAATATATTTCCAAAAATATCTTTATTTTCAAGAACATATGCTATGCTAAGGTAATATAGAGATAATATTTGCTTTTTCACCATAGAAATGTAGGACAAGTCATGCGATCCACAAACTACAGTGATCATAGATTTGAAGGGGCTAGATCAGGGGTGTCAAACTTCCAACATCACGTGATGTGTCGCAATGTATCACGACTTTTTTGCCATTGCCGGCAATGGGATGGGTGCAGTTTTGCTATGAGGCATCCAGTCTGCAGGCTGGCAGTTTGACACCCCTGGGTTAGATTGAAGCTGACTGCTGGAATTGGGAAATAAATATAGCAACATAAACTCAGATTTCAAGACTGTCAGCCGAGAAGGGAAAGAAGGTTACAATATATAGAAGTCAATATATAGAACAACATATAGAACAAAATGATGATTATTGCAAAAACAGCCTAACTCCCCACCTCCAAAAGATACTCAAAATGCAGGGCAATATTTTATTTCAAGTCTACATCTGCTGGACAGAGGACAAAAAGAAGTTAGTCCTGCCTTTGCTGGGTATCTGATAACCCTATTCCTATAGGGATACATTAATGGATTTTTTTTCCAGACTTATTTTCAAACTCAATCTTCCTTTTGATGACTTCTCCCACCATACTAAATTTGTTCCCATTCTAGTTTGTTTTCATACAGTTCCCTGCTGATGGACAGATTCCACATATTTCATTACCACCTTCCCTTTCTAGCTATGCCTCTGCAGTCCTCAGACCAGAAACCTCTGGCTGCAGTGAAGGCTTTGTTTCCTGATCTATGGTGCTATACTGTATTATCCAAATATGGCTTCTGGCACACAAACATTGGGGTCCTCGGTGCTAAATTACTGCTTTATCTTAGCTATATTTTCAATGAATAAGCCACAGTACATGAGCTCGTGCACAACCTAAACCAAATAAATCTCATTATGCTTTGGTAGGATATAAGTCCAGACACAGCAGAAGTTCTAGCCTGTGCATAATTGCATCTAGCAGAAGCTGTAATATCTCCACATGGCGCCATCACACAAAAAAATGCAAATGCAATAGGCAGTTCATGCCATTTTTGTGAGGATGCAGGGATAGCATGTCTCCACGGGAGGGGGCACCCATGCCAAGGGGGCAACGATTGATACTTAAAATCAGATTCATTCTCAAGAGCTTCTTCCTTGGAGCCAAGATGTACGTTCAGGTCACTTTATACCCTCCATCTTGGAGTGAGATTTTACAGCATAGGAAGTCTTTAAAATGCCACCGGTCTCGTGGCTTCTCTGCCACCTAAGGGCAGGAATTCTTGCTTAAGCACTGAATCCCGGCAGGCTGGCAGGGAGGAGGGGGCTCCGATATCAGCCGGTCTGCGCGAGACGCCAGTTGCGACGCAGGAGCCCAAAGGGGCTGCGAGGTTTGAGTTTTGGGAGACACAACAACGGTAAAAAGCAAAGTGGCAAAAGCAAAGCTGCTTTTTTGTTGCCTCTTTATAATGTCTTTTTCAAACATGCAAAGAAGCAAAATAAAAACAAATCTGGAGAAAAGGAGCCAATACCACACCCTTTTTGTGGGGGGGAGGGGACCTTTCATTCATCAAGGCTCTATTTTTTACACTTAAACACAGATTCCAGAGTTCTCAGTTGAGACGCAAATGACCAGGGTCCTTACATAAAGACCCAGTTATCTGGGACAGGCTCTAATGCTGGGGAAAGAAAGAAAGAAAGAAAGAAAGAAAGAAAGAAAGAAAGAAAGAAAGAAAGAAAGAAAGAAAGAAAGAAAGAAAGAAAGAAAACAGGATGACCAACAGCAAGATGGATGGACTTACGGTGGAGACGAGTATTATTAGGGACGGACCATCACGGGGAAAAATCTATCTACTTTATGTGGTCACTAAGAGTCGAAAACAGCTTGATGGCAATCAGGTGTCAACACCGACTTGATGGCACGTAATCAATCAATCACTCAATGTCCCTACCATGAAACTTCTATGTCCGTGATGTTCCTTTCCCCAGCCATGCAAACAACCTAATTTGCTCTCCCCAACAAATTGCTACGTTCCGCCGACTCCACGCACTCCCGCCATTCACGTGCAAGAGGCAAGGAGCTGCGACCAGGAACCGGAAGTGCTGGGTCGGGAGCTGCGGGAAGGCTCACCGCGCCGCTTGGCTCTATCGGGGCCTGGTTTCGGGAGCGATTCTCTCCGCCGCCGAGGCGACCGGCCCCGAAGAAGCGGGAGACGCGCTGCGGAATCGCCTTCGGGAGGCCGGCCCAGAAAGCCTTTGTCCGGTCGGGGACTCGAGTTGGGCGACACGAGCCTCCTCCTCCGCTGCGTTTGCCCGGTTAGATGCGGGTTTTCTCTGAGGAGGCGGACGGGGAAGAGGGAGTTCTTGGAGAGGGAGCCGGTGCTGGTGGTTTAGCAAGGCATGGGAACGCCAGGTAGAAAAATTCAGTCGCCATTTGGTTTCACAGCCTGCGAGGCTGCCTGGATGCATTTTCTGACACTCGAGGGTCGTGCTTAAAAAAAAATCCTGCTTGTAGGTTGGAAATATTAATATTCGTTTCAAAAATGTTCTCGGTGACTCTCCTTGTTTTTTTTTTTTTTTTTTTTGACACCAAGAAATACAAATATCGAATCAGGTTTAGTATTGGTTACATTTAACTGGATGCCGAACTACAAATCCTAGCCTCAACCACCCACGCCCAAGCTGGCTGAGGCTGCTGGGAGTTGTAGTTCGGCAAGCTGTTTATCAAACCCTCCCCCTTTTAAATGAGCTTTAAGCTATCTTGTTAATAATATCAACTGGAGTTGGACGATCAACAGATTTCAATACATAATATGCCATCATACCGATGATTTATTTATTTATTTTTGCTCATTCATTTAAAAAAGTATTCTCAGGAAAATTTCAAGGGAAGTTGTTTACAAATTATTTTGTGTGTTTCAATGTATTTTGTTCTGTTTGTATTTTACTGCTGTTATGCTTAATTATACTTTAAATAACTGCTCATTCAAAAAGTTCCAGTTCAGTGTTTCCCTGTTTTGAAAATCTCCAGATGTATTAACATCAATTCCCCAAAATTCCCCTGCATTTTGGAAGTCTACAAAATTGGGAATCTCGTTCTTATCTAACCAGGAGTTATTTTGTTAATCATTATATTTCTCTTGTTTATAAGTTCTCTAAAATTATGTGACTTCCACAACATTGAATTACATAATCATAGCTATCACTTTAGCAATATAAAGCCTGCATGCATTCATGATATGCTGATAGAAATGGCAAAAAAACCTCTATACATTTCTAATGTTCAAAACTATGAAATCTATTTGGAGATAGTAATTTTACTCTATTTGTCCTTTTCCCAGCAACCAAGTTGGTTGAGTTAGGATTATATTTTAATATACAATGCTAACATACCAAAAGAGGCAAATAATCAGTTTATTGACCATAAGCTCATCAGAGGAATTTTTATTGTGAACATATAATATTCACTATGATATTTTGCAATATATCTTCTGTGTCCACCGTAACATCTTCCTATTCTTCAGTGTCAATCCCTTCACTCACTGGGAGCTACATCTTATAATAACAACACAATATTACATTGAAATATGTAGAAATCATCACTTATCTATTCTTTTGAAGATGAATATGTATACACTTTTTGAACTCTGTGAAGGAGCAGTGTGATGCACAGAAGAAATAGAGAATTTAGTAAAAGTAAAAAGAATTCACAAAATAAATACTAAACATAAACGAGAAATGTTTCTTATTAGTGCTTTTTATAAAACACCAGACAACTAAGTCACTTTTTGGTTTTTAGTAATTGTTATTTAAAATATTTTAGAATTATGCAGTTAACATTAATATATTCCCACGGCTTCATGGGGAGAGAAGCAGGGGACGTTCTCATGGAAATTTGCCCACTCAGGTTCTGGTGGGCAGAGGAAGAGGAGCCTAGCTGTTGGCACCCACAAGACTCTGTTGCTTCCTAGAGATGCTAGACCGGAAATAGCCTGATCTGAGGTATTATTTGTGTGATTGGGCAAGTTGGGTGTGCTAGTTGTGGCATATAAATTTGATAAATAAATCCTCCTGTTACACATGGCAGCCCTGCCAAGACTGCTCAGCCTGATTGCCTAAGTAGCACTTATGAGTCCTGGAAGACTTCAACATGATTCACCTTGACAAGGAGTTTGGAGCAACTCAGTTCACAGGAGCCATGACAGTCGTGGATCAGACCCAACGTATTGTGAGCTCAACCCACATGAAAATCGCACACTAGATCTGCCCTCTGTTTTGTGGAAGACAAGGTGTGATCCGAAAGTGAGGGATTGTAAATTGTAATCTGCCTGTCGTGGATAGATTATTTTGATTGCTATGGAATTGGGCATAGCGTCCTACTCCACAATAAGGGAGATCTAGTAGATTGGCCCACACCAAGTTTCTAATAGATTTTATGGGTTTTCAGAGCTCTTTTGGCAGGAAATTTGGCTGAATTTCTGGTTTGGAATAATAGGCCGTCCAAGGCTTTGGAATGGATTGCACTGGAGTGGCCTCCCTCTGTGCTGATCTGCTCTAGCAAATGAAGTGGCAGAGAAAATGATTAAAGTACTGCTGGATAAAGATTTGTCTTGAGTCTGATTGGTATGAATTCATGCTCAAGCCTACATAATGTGGATTTAGGTTATAAACATATTTGGTTTGCTTATGTTGGCTGAACACCAACCAACAGACCTATTTAAGGTAACCCTTTCCCTTTTAACGAAGAGTAATCAGGATTATTTGAAGAGTGCTGTGAGACATTTTTATCTGGATAAAGCCGCTTACATTTGGTAGGAGTTAGACTTCAGTTAGAGAGTATCCATGGATTGGTTTTCTCTTGTGATATAGGATTATTTTCAGTCTGTGACACCTGAGGAAGTGGATAAGGTCCACTCTCCACTTATTTTTAACACTTACTTTATTTTTACATAAAATTGCTGGGAGTGGTAATTTGCCAGTATGCAGTTCAGTACCGTCAGTGTGTGCTGATGTTATTCAGCAATGTATCTCAGTGCTAAACAAGTGGAAGTGCTGACCCAGGGCGTGGAGGATATCAGGATCTGGAAATGTCACCCCTTTGGGCAGATCAAGAAACAGCAAATGTGACCTCTTTGCTTTGGAAGTTTTGTTGATGGCTAGTGAGTTTCCTGGTATGGTTCAATGTGCTGGTTATCACCTTTAAGGTCCTATGTGGCTTTGGTCCTGGTTATCTGAAAGATTGCTGTCCAACCAAATCTCCTTGGGTTAATTATCTCCCAAATCCTGTCCCTGTGCAATTGTTATCTGATGGGACTAGGAGTTGTGGTTTTTTTTCCGCTGCCCCCATTTTTGGCATTGCCGTGTCTTAGTGCTTCAGTTTGCTTCATCCTTCATGTGCTTCAGGAAACTTGAAAAACCTTTTCCATCTTGCACAGAAGGAGGGTGTTTTATATGCAGGTGGGATCTGCAGCACATATCACTTATTTATATGCATTTTATTTTTATATGTATTTGAAGGAGAGAGTTAAATTGTTTATTGTAAGCCACCTATAGCATTTGACAGTAGGCAGCATATAGATATTGAAAGAAAGTAGACAAATAAGCAAATGTTACCATCATTCAAAATTGTGCATTTGAAGTTTGCGAACACAAAATGTCACCCAGACGAACAACTCCCGTTGTAATAGCTAGAAACCAAGATTGGATATCACATAAGTATAATGGGGAGATGTTGGGGAATAATTTTGAGTCCCTTCAGTAAAATAATAATAAATATACTAGACAACCTGTGACCTGCAGTTTATCTGATCTCATCGCCAGCTGCCAAAGGAAGGGCCTTCCACCTGGCCTTTACAAGGCTAGGGCTGGGTCGGCCTAGTAAACAATCTTGGTTGCTTCAATCTCTTTGTTTTGCCTGGTCCTATGTAAAATGTTCCATTTGGTTTTGATCTGCAAATTACTTTCAGGAGCTCTTTCCTTCACATTTTGAGAAAAGGTTAGCAAGAACTGAGCCACAAAAATAGAGAAATTACTTTCAAGAGGCAACAAAGTTATAAAAAATAGAAGGAATCTAGATCCCTCCACATGCTACTGCATTTAAACATGCGCTTACAAAAGTGGTGTTTGAAAACATATGATGAGAAAGGTGAATCAGAAATTGATTTGATTTTACGGTAATATAAGCTTCTCAATTTTATTTAGTTATTTAGCAAATTGATTATAGCTGTCCATGTCAAACTTAATGATTAATCCCTTATTACAAGTGGAATGCTTGTAATAAGCTTCACCGTATTGCTTATGCTGACTTTGCAAAAGTGAAGTGAAAACTGATATTTTTAGTTGATTGGTTACATACTGCTACAAACAACCTGATTGAAGCATATGAAAAAGTTGGTTTTTGAGTTAATTTACATTGTACATTGTGGTATTTTATCAGAAAACCGAATATCTAACAAGATTTTTCTTTTCTGTTATAGATGTGCATTGGACTATTAAGTGGGTCAGAGCAGATTTAACAATCCTTGATCATATTTTGCACCTGCTGAAGGCAAGATTTAACATTTCTCACTATTACCTGTACCAAAGTTGATAAAGGTTTTCATACTTGATGATGGTTTTTAAGTGGTGATTTTAAAGTGATTAACTTTTTTTTTTTTTGCAACCAATTTGAAAGGCGTGGCTGTTCAACTTTAGAAAATAGAAGCATTTGGGAGTTTAGTTTACAGTGGCTAAAAAAGCTGGGGTGAATTTTTCAGCTGTGCATCTTGATAAGGATGATGAAGGAAGCAGGAATTGCTTCCACTGAGATATTAGCTAACTCTACAGCTCACCAAAATTCCATACTGGAGGTTAGAAATTAAGGCACTCTTTGCCACCTTATTGTTCTCTCATACTAGATGGAATTGAAGTTACAGCTGTACAGACCTCTAGAGGGAGCTGAAAGTCTATAGAACTTCTGAGGTCCTATTAGTGCTACTTCTGTTAAAGCTGTTTTAAAAAAGGTAGTTAAATTAGATAAAGGAATTGTTTTCAAATAGAAATAACAAAAATGAAAATTTTGACATATTTCACTTAATATATTCTAAGATTGTACTAGAATAGCGTTCCCCAACCTTTCTGGATTGGTGGGCCCAGTGGGAGGGAGGGGGGGGGGAAAAGAGGATGGTTTTGTGTGAGGGGCAGGCAGCATGTGTGCACACAGCTTCATTTGTGTGAGTGGAGCTGTGAGCATGTGAGCACTGGTGCCCGCTGCTTGTGTGAGTGGGGCTACAAATGCTGGTGCCCGCTGCTCATGCGAGTGGGGCTGTGTACACTTGCACACCCTGGCCCGCCACTCAGGTGGCCCTGTTAGGAATTGGCCACAGCGCAGTAGTGGGCCGTGGCCCACAGTTTGGGGACCCCTGATCTAGAAAAGCAGAAGAATTAACATATATATTTAAAAATCCTGGCAGAGATTTTGCAGTTTTTGGTATCCTTCCCAAATGAAGCCATAGATTATAGTAATCAGGATTCCTTTCTGGTCTCCTTCATCCTTCACCATTTCCCCAAATAGCAGAAAACACAGGCAGGGTATATCTTGGCCTCAGGTTTTGCTAGGCAAGGATAAAGACAAAGCTTTTATATCCAGCCGTGACTGAAAAAAAAAATTCTTCAGGAAAGAGAAGGAGCACATTGACCTCAGTCAGCATTTCTGCTAAGCAACAACTAAAGAAATAACTCTGACCACCATTTATTTACCTCTCATAAGAGTGAAAGAGAACAATATTCAGGGTTCACTCTGATGATGCTAAAAGGCTAAGAGCCATTCAATAATAGCACAAAATCTCCAAGAAAACTTGGGAACTTTATTAGAAAAGCTCATAAACTGAGAAGGTGGATGTGCTTATCACACTATAATGCCAGCTTTTCTTTAAAGTGTATCTTCCTCAGCTGCTGTTTGCTTAATAGAGATCATAAATGCATTCTGTCAACCACAGCTGTTGTGTGGACTCTGTTAGCTTCTGCAGATTGTCACATAACCTCCTTTTGAAAATGAAAGAGAATATATAAATCAAATCTTACATTTTTGCTTTTGTATTCCTGACTGATCGTTGGGTATTTGGTCTTTATTTAGTGGAATGAAATTATTTGTGTAAAATAAAAATGTTCAATTTTTGAATTTTTAGTTTTTCTGCACAAATATGAGCTTAAGTATGATCTGTTCTTCACACAACTCCTAAAATTATATAAAGAGAACTCCATTAAACAAAGAGATTAAAAATTGTTTATTTATTGAGGAAAATGATCCAGAGAATTATGCAGAAATATTGAACGTTCAAAAGAGTTCACAAAATTTTGAGCATTGTACATAGGCTTATGTTTTTTGACAATTGAAGAAACGTATACCGTATTCCTTCTCTCTTTTTTTCAGGAATCTGTATATTATTTATAGTATAAGCCTGGGGATCAAAGTACGATATTCTATCTAGAGAATACAACTATCATTGTGGTGGCCAAAATTAACTTGTCAAAAATGAGAGAATCATAATCAAAAGTATAAGAAATATTTTCTGTTCCAAGAATAGTGTGGAGCATCAAATGTATACTATTCAGCTTTTGGATCTTGCCCTTAAACCAGGGCTTTTCAACCAGTGGTACAGGTACCACCTGTGGTACATTGGCACCTGGCAGGTGGTACGCGACCATCCCAGAAAAGTGGTAGTGGGGGAGGGGAATGAGCTGAACCTGCGGCAGCACCGCACAAGCCTGAGCGAGAGATGGCTGGAGCTGCAGGGCTGTCAGGGCTCAACGGAAGCGCCAGGATCAGCGCTTCTTCAGGACTGTCAGGGCTCAGTGGAAGAATCAGGATCAGCACTAGGCTCCAGCTGAAGCTCGGCGCTGATCCTGGCGCTTCTGCTGAGCCCAGAAGAAGCGCCGATCAGTTGGAATGTTGCAGCATCTCCAGGGTCTTATGATTTACATTCAGATGCTTGGCAACTGATTCATGTTTATGATGGTCCCAGTGTCCCAGAGTCAACCACCCAGCAGACGGGGAGAATAAAAACCAAACACCTCCCACCCCACCCCTGCTGCCAATCCTCAAGAGAAATGCTCCCAACAATGAAAACCTCGGACCAGGAGGAAGAGCACTGCTAGGTGGGCAGGCAGGTGTCTTGCTTGGCTGTGGCTTGGGGGGTACTTTTTTCAGTGCCATTGTAACTTCGAACTGTCACTAGGTGAACTGTTGTAAGTCAAGGACTACCTGTACTTCATCAGTTTTTTCCTTTTTTGGGGGGGGGGGTCATCAAGTTTTTGACACCTTGCTAGGCGACTGGTGGTACTCAGATATTGCCATATCCTAAAAGTGGTACAATGGGTGAAAAGGTTGAAAAGCCCTGCCTTAAATGATAGCTTTTCTGATTTTTTTAAAAAACATTTTTTTAAAATGTTGGCATTCTTAGTAACAAAGGCTAACAGTTTCTTCCATTTCACTTTCAGCTGCAGGTTGGCTACATTTCCCATTCAGTCATGTCTTACGTGTTTGTAAATGATTCTTCACAAACAAATGTGCCTCTGCTACAAGCTTGCATTGATGGAGATTTTAACTATTCCAAGAGGCTACTGGAGAGTGGCTTTGACCCAAACATCCGGGACAACCGTGGCCGAACAGGTCTTCACTTAGCAGCAGCTCGAGGAAACGTTGATATTGCTCAGTTGTTGCACAAATTTGGGGGGGATCTTTTGGCCACAGATTACCAAGGTAACACAGCTCTTCACCTGTGCGGACACGTTGATACCATTCAGTTCCTCGTCTCCAATGGACTCAAGATAGATATTTGGTAAGGTTGTCACTCTACCATACGCCTAAAAAAATCAGTCTTATCTGTTAACACTTTCAATAGCTCCTGGGAATATATTTCAGCTTTCTTAATCCTTAAAGTTCAGGATTGTGGGAGCTGTTGACAAAAGCCTCTTTGACCCACTCTACATGCTACTTTTATTATGAATAGAAAGACAAAAAACATGATGACTTTTCTGTTGTATTTTTCTTGGGTAGCACTTACCACTATGATTCTTTCAGGTCAGGGGGATAATAACAGCATAGAAATTATTTGTAACTATTCTTGGTAATGTGTTCTTGTCACAACATTCTGTATAAAAGTGACCTGATATCATATTGCACTGGAGCTGTGAAAAAACCAGCAAGCAGTGATCATTTCTAGTACTATCTTGGCTACTACAATTACAGTGTAGCTGCCAAACATTTAATCTTTTCCATTTTATCCGGCATGGCCAATGGTGATGAGGATTGATGTTGTAGTCCAGTAATATTTTGAGGGCACTTGCATTGGTTCCTCCAGAGCAAGTGCGTAGATGGCATTGTTCTGATTCTGCCACCAACCCCTGACATGGAGATATCTCAAAATAATTGACCTCTTTTAATAACTTGAAATATATGTATATTTATTCCAATGTAAACAGAAATGGTTCAGCACGTCCTTTGTGTTTCGTTATTTTTCAGTGCTCACCCAACCAGCTCTCAGAATTCATGAATCAATCTTTCTCTGAAATGTTGTATATTCACTCTACCAGGCTCCGAGCATCTGTCATATGCAAGTGTCCAGACAAAAGCACTTAGTGTACTAGATAAATAGCTGTTTGACAAACACAATTAACAATAATCCCAGAATTGTTTGTTCTTTGAACTCTCTGTTCATGTATCCTAGTGGTTTGAAACTTAATAATTGTTCTTAAATAATTGATGCTAAGCCTCTGTATTTTTATATTTGAGTTACAATATTTTATTTGTATATGATGATTAAGTTGTGTCAAAAGTGCGGGAACTGATGAGATTAGCATACACTTATTTGAAGTTTGCAGTGGATTTCATAATTAACTTGGGAATCACTTCTTCATAAAGGAACAGAAGTTTCAAGGAAGAATCAGTGCTGTAACTGTTATCACCATACAAAAAAAATAAAATTAAGTCCTGGTGGGACTGCCTTGCTTACCATCTAGATCAGGGCTTTTCAATCAGTGGTACAGGTGCCACTTGTGGTACATTGGCACCTGGCAGGTGGTATGCGACCATCCCAGAAAAGTGGTAGTGGGGGAGGGGAATAAACTGAACCAGTGGCAGCACCGCACAAGCCTGAGCGAGAGAGCTTGGAGCTGCAGGGCTGTCAGGGCTCAGCAGAAGTGCCAGGATCAGCACTTCTTCGGGGCTCAGTGGAAGCATCAGGGTCAGCACCAGGCTCCAGCTGGAGCTTGGCACTGATCCTGGCACTTCTGCTGAGCCCAGAAGAAGCGCCGATCAACTGGAATGTTGCAGCATCTCCAGGGTCTTGTGATTTACATTCAGATGCTTGGCAACTGATTCATATTTATGACGGTCACAGTGTCCCAGGGTCATGTGAAGTGACCAAAACCTGCTGCAACCACCCAGCAGACGGGGCGATTAAAAACCAAACACCCCCACCCCTGCTGCCAATCCTCAACAGAAATGCTCACAACAATGAAAACCTCGGACAGGAGGAAGAGCACTGCTGTGTGGGCAGGCAGATGTCTTGCTCAGCTGTGGCTTGGGGGGCACTTTTTTCAGTGCCATTGTAACTTTGAACAGTCACTAAGTGAACTGTTGTAAGTCAAGAACTACCTGTACTTTATCAGTTTCTTTCCTTTTTTTTTGTCATCAAGTTTTTGACACCTTGCTAGGCGACTGGTGGTTCTCAGATATTGCCATATCTTAAAAGTGGTACAATGGGTGAAACGGTTGAAAAGCCCTGATCTAGATGGCAAAAAAACAATGAAGAAAGTGAAAAGTACAAATGATAAAGCTTGAATGTGATTTTTACACTTGCATTTAAAATAAATTGATCACCTAATTTATTTAAGTATAAAGAAACCCAACCAATTTAGCTCTGAATACTTGTTGCCTAAAAGTTGCTTTTATTCCCCCTTTTGTGCCTGTTGTCTCAGCTTCAAAAGAACAAAAGTGCTTCAATAAGTAGTAAAACTAAAAAGCAACTATCCATCTTAGCTTTCCATCTCAGTACAGGTAATCCTCAGTTAAGAGTGGCAACAGGATGGCCGTTTGCAAGCTCCTACTGGCTTCCTAACTGAGTTTGCTTGTCGGAAGCCAACAAAGAAGATTGCAAATGGCGACCATCTGACTGCAGGAAATTGCAGTGTTGCAATTGCAAGCAGGGTGCTGAGCACCTGGATCATGACCACAGAGACAGTGAAATGACTGGAACTCTAGGGACCGGTCAAAAGTACCATTGGTTCAGGGCCAAGGCAAATTCAAACAATTGCTGACTGAGTGGTCATTAATTGAAGACTGCCTGTATATGTAAAACATTCTTAGCATATCTATTTTAGAAACAAACACCAAAGTTTTACAGAGTTTATGATTGCCTTGCACACTGACCATTTGCAATTGATGATGGTGATAAAAAATTAACTTTACAACCAATCCTTGTATTTATGACCTTCACAGGTCATAAAGCAAAAGAAAGCTGAAGTAAGATCATAAGTACAGTTGGGATTTCGCTTAGCGGCTGTTTCTTTTAATGACCAAGTTGCTAGTCCCAGTTATGCTTGCTACGTAAAAACAACCCATAATGGCAGGAGGCTGACTTCAAAACTGCAATAATAGGTTGAACCTTAGCATGCTGTCAAAGTGGCTTCCCTAGAGCAACAATAACATTATAAAATTGGCTTTTTTATGCTTCAATTGACAAGAATGGAGGCTATGCTAATATTGTACAGGGCTGTAAGCATAGAGCTATTCGGTAAATTGTAATTCAAGTATCACATTAAAAGAAATTACAGTTTTAGAATACCTGCAGGTTTTTTTAAAAAGTAATAGCTATGTATAATGTCAACTTTTTGAAGTTTCAGATAAAAAGAGGTAGTTTGGTGTAGTGGTTAAGGCGCCAGTCTAGAAAGTGGGACTGCAAATTCAATTCCAACCTTAGCCATGAAAGCTGGTTGACTTTGGGCCAATCACTCTCTCTCAGTCCAACCCATCTCACAGGGTTCTTGTGGGGAAAATAGGAGAAGGAAGATGTGTTGAATATGCTGGCCGCCTTGGATTATTTGTAAAAATAATTAAGGTGGGATCAAATAAATAAGGTAATATCTCCCAAATACATGCTGTTCTTGAAATCATAAACCTTTAATACAGAGAAAATAATGTTCTAATTTCAATTTCAGCGCTTCTCACAACTCTTTTTTGACCAATCCATGTACAAAGATGAGTTTTCAGAAAGAAATTATATCATTCCAAATATTGTTGTCTTTCTGAATAGAGGTTACCCGATACTGTAATGTAATAATCTCCTACAAAATCTAATCATTTTATACATAGTCTTGACTTTTAAATCTGATGCAATTGAAACATATGTAAGATTCAAGTATTTCTACTTCTAGTTAATTAATTCTGCTTAATACAATAGCTAGATTTATGTTTGTGTTGCTATTAATACTGGAGATTTTCAGTTTTTCATTGAAAGAAAGCAGCTTCTACTGTTTTGTGGGAGAGATCTAGCAATGTATTAACAGCTTTCTTTCCAAAGATCTCTTAATTAAATTATCTTTTGCTTTAAAATCCACAAGAATATAACATCCTTGTAACACAGGAAATAAAGTCAGAGTAACTGTATGATCAAAGTGCTTGACTTCAAATATAATGTAATTTAATGCAAGTTCAGCCAGATTGTTAACCTGCTATTATTGTCTGCAATTATGGCCCTATTACGTGAAGCACTTTCGGACTTGTGGATGAAAAATAATGAGGTATAGTTTCCAATAAACTGAGATAAACTGAATTTTTTTTCATACAATTGATATGTCTGTGGAGATTCTCAGTCAGAGCTGAAGAAACTTCTTGGATGAGAAGCGAAACGTCTTCAAAGAAAAATAAGAAAGTCCAGTTGCCTCTTAGAAAAGCACCTTTGGGACATACAATTGATATGCATATATTTTTCAGATAGAAACTGTTCTATTACCTTCTTTTTTTCACTTCACATAGCAATCATCAAGGTGCAACACCTCTTGTCCTGGCAAAACGAAGAGGAGTAAATAAAGATGTGATTCGATTGCTTGAATCTTTGGAAGAGCAAGAAGTGAAAGGGTTCAACAGAGGAGCACACTCAAAGCTGGAAACAATGCAGACAGCTGAAAGTGAAAGGTTTGCCCTCCCTCCCCCATTGTTTTGATTCTATTTTGTTGGTTAAATGTCATTGGAAAAAATGTCGTATTTGGAGCTTAATCTGCATAGTGGAAAAGGTCAGGGCTGATTATATGACATTTTTCTCCCAAGTTTTGCAGTTGGAGATGTTTAGACCAGTGTTTCTCAACCTTGACAATTTTAAGGCATGTGGACTTCAACTCCCAGAATTCCACAGCCAGCATTGCTGGCTGTGGAATTCTGGGAGTTGAAATCCACATGCCTTAAAATTGTCAAGGTTGAGAAACACTGGTTTAGACGCTTCATTGGAAAGAGTTCTAAAGAAGTTGGACTTTCATGTGGCCAATGAACTTCAGGAGTCAACTAAAATTGCGTAATTGGACTAAGTCATTGTCTCTGACTTGAAATATGACTTGACAGTCCCTTGTACAATTAATAAATACTTACACATAGAAAATTCAATGCTGGAGAGAAGGTTCTAATTTTTCTTTCTCTTTGAGATTATTTTCTCTTTCTAGATAGTTCGAATAGAGAAGCCACTGAGCTCCAGTCTGCTTTCTGAAGTGGTATAGCTCAAATGTAACTTGTGGGCTAGTTTTTTCATACAAAAGATATGGGTTTCACAGAATACATCACATGCCTCATAAAAATACTGTGCTATTTTAAAGGAAGCCACTATGCCTTTGTGAATATGAGACCTTGAAGAGTAGGTAGGAGTTGTACTTACAGCTTTCTGACCGCTGCATGCTATATAGTTAAGCATTCTAAAATAGATAGCAAAGAAAAGAGCTGTTGCTTCTGGCACTTGACTGAATGCTCACAACCTCATCTCCATTGCTTTGGACATGCTTACCTTAATGATTCATATTTATACAAAACAAGTTGGAACATTGATATGTTTGGATCTTCATTCTGAAAAAGATAGGACAGGGTGGAAACAAGGCAATGCTGTTTTCAGTTTCTGTTCTCTTTTCAGTATTGTTGTTTTTGGAAGTGGGGACCTTTACAAGTTTGCAGTTTCAGTATTTTAGAAACTGTTGTCTTATTACGAAACAATTTTTCTTTTTTGCCTGGAAGTTCACCTCTTATTTTCTGTCTGAATTCTTGGGTGGTCTAGACTAGAGAAATAAGATACAGAAAATGTTTGTGGGTAGGATCAACATTTTCAAGGGTTTTTTATCCCCTAGATTTTCAGAGTTGGATTTTTTTTGGAGAGTTAAGCCTAAATCAAGGCTTGTTTTAATTCTTTTTCTTTTCCACTGGAGATGGGAGGAAATTGTGCGGCTGTTTCTTGAGTATTTTGCTGTTGAAATTCTGTAGGGCTGCATGCAGGGACTTAAAAACCACAGCCTGTACACTGCCCACCCTTGTAGTATACTAAGTGGTTCTACTGCCAAATAAAATATTCAGACAGATGATAAATTAACATTGTTTTGGATGAATTCTTTTTTTTTTTTGTTCAAAAATACTGCCTTTGTGAATGTATTTATTTCTGTGTGACGTAACCAGTCAGCATTTGTACTTATGTACAATTGCAGTTTGGAAGTTGATTCCGAGGGTTGTAAATGTAACAAATAAATGCCTACATAGGTACATTTTCTATTAAGCTTTTTTCTTTTTGTATTTACCAGTTCATTACAAGACATGTTATGTTGTTTTGTGGAATGAGACTGTATTTTTAAGTAGCTCTCTTTAAGTAGAGCCCACTTTGTTTTCAATAGCCACATAACCTTTCCACTTAGATTATATTATACCTTTATTTAACCTCTTTAGCAGTTATACATTAACTGTCTTGAGTCTTAAGATTTTTTTCTGTCATGCACCAATGGATACTTCTCTATTTTATATAAAAAGCCCTTATTTCTGTTCTCATGAGAATGAGACAATTGATTCTGTAATTACAAACAAACAGCTTTGTAGGGAGGAAAATACTGTATTTAAAAACTAAAATAAGAAGTCTGAGAAATGGCATGTACTTTATGCATATTATCTCTTGTGATAACTCCTCCTGATTTATTTATATTTATGTATTTATAAAAATCCTGTCTTTTATTATTTTTTATAAATCACTCAAGGCAATGAACATACCTAACACCCCTTCCTCCTCCTATTTTCCCCACAACACCACCCTGTGAAAGGGCTTGGGATGAGAGAGAGTGACTGGCCCAAGGTCATCCAGCCAGCTCGTATATCTCTCTCTCACAATAAGTGATTCTTGCCGGCATACACCAAAATAACAATTAAAACCATATCACAGTGTAAATACATCAGAGATAAATAACAAAAAAAGATAAAAGCATAAAGAATAAAAACATTAAAAAAAACTCCAAGATAGCAGGATGACCACCATTATTTAGTCTTATTTGACCACTTTGTAGATACACCATGACATTCCCAGGGTTGATGAAAGAACCACATTTTGAAGGCTTTCCAAACAGCTAACAGATACAGGGGAAATTCTGTTCCAGTGAGCCTGGTCTGGAGCAGAAAAGGCACATATCCTGGGCTCCACCAGATGGAACTCTTTAGCAGATAGGACCTGGAACACATCTGTTCTGCTGGATCTGATAGAGTTCTGGTCCATAGATAGTAACCAGGCCTGGGTAGCTAATTCCCATTCAAATATAGAATTTTTAAGAGGCAGTGACTCCTGTCAGAATTAACAGAATAGCAGAATTGGAAGGGACCTTGGAATTCTTCTAGTCCAACCCCCTGCTCAAGCAGGAAACCCTGTACCATTTCAGACAAATGTTTGTCCAATCTCTTCTTAAAAGCCTCCATTGTTGGAGAACCCACAGCTTCTGGAGGCAAGTCATTATTTGTACCTTTAAAAGTTGTTAATTTTTTATTGAGGGAAAAGATGATGCTTGTAGATCTTAGAAATGCAGAGACGTGTACTGGTGGAAAATCAGTTAAATTTGGGCAGCCTGTTCTTAGAAGATTCTGGAGAGAATGATGGTATGTTCGATCCATATACTTTTGGAAATTATTGATTATTGGAGTGAACCTTACCTAGCTTTTAGCTTGGGACCAGGATAGCTTTGTTAGAGATAACTGCCTGTCCTGATGGGCAATCTGCAGCAGTCTTTGATATCAATTATTGCAGTGTTGATCTCACTGGATTGGGGCTAATAACACTGTGCATAATTCATTGGGGTCCTTTCAGGTGGGAGAAATTTAGTGCTGTGTCAAGATTTTGGGATGGCATATTTTGTCCATGGACTATTTAACCTCTAGAGCAGTGTTTCTCAACCTTGACAATTTTAAGGCACGTGGACTTCAGCTCCCAGAATTCCACAGCCAGCAATGCTGGCTGTGGAATTCTGGGAGTTGAAGTCCACGTGCCTTAAAATTGTCAAGGTTGAGAAACACTGCTCTAGATGCTGTTGCTGAAGAAGGGCAGTGAAGGCAGTGCTGAAATTAATATGTACAGTAGATGGTTACCAATTTTTGTTTTTGCCAGAGATCATAAATGTCTGGAGACAGTTGAGACTAAATGAGGATGAATTAGTTGAAACTTAGTCCAAATAAGACAAATTGATTAGCCTGTTTGGTGGTACCCCTAACTTTGAATGGAGTTCTACTCCCTCAGAAGACCTAAATTTGTAGCTTGGGGATAAGGCTGGACTTGATGCTATTTGGGAAAGCATTGATTGCTACAATAATAAGACTACCTTTTCTCAGTCTAGGGCAGCATGCCAGCTGTGAGTCGATCTACGGATGAAAGATTTTATTTTAGTTGCTGTGCCTTGGAAACATTCAGGCTAGAGAATTATAATATGTTCCATATGGATTTGATTTTAAAAAATGTTTGGAAGTTTCTCGCTTTGCAAATTACAGCTATTCAAATACTTGTGGAAGCTTAGCATTCCTAACATGTCAATCCAATATTATATTAAATGAACTGTCTGCCTTCCACAACCAAGCCCAGTTCAAAGTGCTGGTTTTGACCATTAAAGCCTAAGGTGTATGGAATTGGATTATTTGAAGGACTGTCTGTATATACATATATGGAGCTGTCAAAGGGCTGTGGTTCATCTTGGAGTGTGGCAGATACAATTATATTGTCAGCAATATAAGATAAGACCTGTTCAGTGGTGGCTCCTCATTTATAGAGATCCGTTCTAGATGTACATGTTTTGTTCACATGTATTTCTATTTTCTTTTAAATAGACCTTACCGCCACCCTTCCCTCTTATGCATTATGAGTATTAAGAATTGGGATATTACTTCATTTTGGAATTATTTTTACTGGATTTGAGACTATAGGACTGGATTTTTTTTCTGTTTTGCAATGATTTTGGCTGTAAAAACAGCATAGAAACTCTCTTTTTTTAAAAAAAGAAACTTTTAAAATAGATTAGTTATGCCTTCCTCATAAGAGGCCTATAAACTATGTTAGCCAGCTGGGGAATTCTGGGAGTTGATGTGCACCTATCTTAAAGTTGCTAAGGTTGAGAAACACTGGTCTATGTGATAGAGCAATAAAAGTGTGTATACGTGTGGGGTTTGGGGCATGAAACAGTTTTATAAAAAATATACAATGTATTTTTAGTTAAATAAATTGAATTCCGGTATAACATGCTTACTGCTGGAAATACTATTGAAACATTTGTAATGCTGGTGAAACACAGTTGCCATTTAAAGTGAAAAGAGGCTTAATCAAGCTTGGTTTTTCTAATCCTATTGTTATCCACTTCTTTGTCTGTTTCCGGTATAAGTAAATCAGAATTAATGTTTGGTGTCCAAATTCTGTCTTCAGTGACCTTTTTATTTCTATTTTCACAGTGCCATGGAAAGTCACTCTCTCCTCAACCCCAACCTGCAACAAGGGGAAGGTGTTCTGTCCAGCTTCCGAACAACATGGCAAGAATTTGTAGAAGACCTGGGCTTTTGGCGAGTGCTACTTTTGCTTGTTGTCATTGCTTTGCTGTCTCTTGGAATTGCATACTATGTTAGTGGAGTGCTCCCCTTTGTAGAAAATCAGCCTGAGTTGCTGCATTAAAGGCAGTGTAAATTAATAGTGTCTTACTACTATTTGTAATGTCTCACTTTCTTCTCTGTTGGGCATATGTTGGCTGCTGCTTGTAAGGTTTATACACACAACACCCCTGCCTAGACATTGTAAAGAGCCCCTTCCAAAAATAAGGATGCATTAGTCTTAGCTACATTACTGAGTTAAAGTATTCATTAACTGTATCTAACATGTTCTTGGATTATCATTAGTTGTAGTTTCTGCTGATAAAATACGACAATATAAAGAAATGCTGGAAAGCTTTTCCTTCAGATTTGTCAGAATGTCTCCAAAAATTGTTATGGAATTAAGTCTTATGCTGTGGGTCTTTAAAGGTGGTCACTTACAAGGTGTTAGCTCAGTGTTTCTCAACCTTGACAATTTTAAGGCATGTGGACTGCAACTCCCAGAATTCCACAGCCAGCATTGCTGGCTGTGGAATTCTGGGAGTTGCAGTCCACATGCCTTAAAATTGTCAAGGTTGAGAAGCACTGTGTTAGCTGGTGTTAGCTTTCTGCAGAAAAATAAACTAATTTGTATTTCTTTGGTAAAGAAAACATACCGTAAATGCCGGCGTATAAGACGACTTCCGCGAGCGCTGAAATCGGCGCCAAAGACGGGGGTCGTCTTATGCGCCGAGTCGTCTTATACACCGGAAATACTGGTAGTTTCCGGCGTATAAGACGACGTTCTAGGAATGCGGCCCGGCTATAAAGACGGGGGTCGTCTTATACGCCGGGTCGCCTAATACGCCGGCATATATGGTATATCATTTTTCAAGAAGTAACACTTGAGAATTTTTGCACTTCCATAATTTTCACTTGAAATATTAACAGTTTTTCATTTCTTTGGAACAAGACCAATATTTAGTTAATCCATATGAATTGGGAAATATCAATACTTATTGTTTTAATAAGAACTAAATAAAACATTTTTTGACTTTTAGGAATTTTTCTTTCATTTGGGGAGAATTTTATTTTTTTTTACAAGTAAGCAAAAATGATCTTAACGGCTTGAAAATTTGAGTAGAAGTATTGTGTAAAACTTGTAGCATGATCGTGGAAAGGTTTATATTGCCCGATGTGTAGAAAATACTGTAAGCTTCAAACTAATTTTCTAAGTAATTTAATTGCAATTAACTTAATGTCCTATATGTTAATCTCTTAACATATGTATTATTGTATATGTAAAAGGAAACCTGATTTAAAACTATTATTTAAATTAGTAATATACCTAAATATAGGATCTCATTAATAACCTCACTAAGATTATCTAACTAAGATTGATGGTTCAGGCACTTAGTGGTGCAGGAAGTAATGTCTGTTTTTTTGCTGAATCGAAAAATCTGAAAATGGATCCAGATGTGCTGGAGCATACATTGTCTCATAGAGTTCTATTTATATCCAGGCAAGAGAGAAAATGAGTGCTGATCTCTCTTCTTCTATATCCAAATAAGTAATTAATAAACCATGTTTAAAATCTAGAAATTGAAGCAAGTGATTGATTTGTTTATCTCACACTAAGTTCTTCATATTCATTCTAATGAAATATAATTTTGTGGTAAGTTGTAGTCTTCTATGTAAAATGTTTTGTAATATATTTTGTATTTCATTTAGCATTGGAAGAAATGTTGGAAATGGACTGTTTGTACCCCAGTTTCAGAATCTTTTTTAATGTTAAGAAAACATCCTGAATACAATCCAGCCAAAGTTCTAACTTTTTAAGGACATAATGGATTTTCAGTTTAGCATTTCTTTTCTTGAAGTTCGTAGGATCTTGTTTAAAATAATAAACAACAAATTCAAGACTGCAAACATGAGCAAATTAACTACTAAATAGTGAATGCAGTAGAAATAAGATATAAACAATAAAAAGAATTATACACTTGGGGTGTCTTTTTGTAAAAAGTAAACTTCCATGTTCTGTTATTTCATTTCTATTTTACACTGCATAGCTATTAATTTAATTATTAATTGTATTCCAAGCATGCCAAGGTATTCTAAATAAACTTGTATAAACTACATGTATGATTCTATTTATGATACAATTTTAAATCAAGAAAACAAGTAATAAGATCTAGTTCTTCATGGTCACTTTTTTGCACAGATCCATTACAGATTTCTCATCTCTCAAACATCAAATTACAGTAAAGTATGGTTATTAAGGTTCATTTTAAGAAAACATATGGTTAAATATTAATATAACCAGTTTTAGTTAGAATGAATGCATAGTAATTTATGACTAATATGAATTTAACTATTTGGTCCACATTATAAGCAAGACAAGGCATAAAACAAAGATATCGGCAAATTCTAGGAATGCAGTAGATTTTTTCCAATGAACCTGTTTTGGGTATTTACAATATATTTGAAAGAATTTGATTAAAAGGATATTATTTTTGTATTTTGTTTTACCTTTTGGAGATTTACCCATCCTTCAGGCATAAGGCAAATATTAGCCAAGGAGTAGATAGTAAAATATGCTAAGGAACTTAGTGACATGGTTACTAAGGTGGTGGCTATGTGGATAGTGAACTTTGCTGTTGCATCAGTTATAGCGACGACTGCTTTTATTCGGTAGCAAGGCAAGTACAAACATTCAGAGCAGGGTTTCTGAAGTTTACATCACTTGAGACCACAAATCATTTGAAGAACAAAGAAGAGGTCAAAAAGCAAATATTTATATTATCTTTAAGGGTGTTTGCCACTTCTTTTTTGTTTTGCTTTCTAATATTTATAAACAGTAACACAGTAGAGATTTTTGTCGTAAAGTTAAAAAAAATCAATTTTTTTTTAGTATTATGAAAACAATTTGATGTACTTTGTTTTGTACGCTGAGCACCAATTCTACAATCATAAGTCCCTCTATAGCAGTGGGAGTTGAAGTCCACAGGTCTTAAAGTTGCCAAGGTTGGGGGACCCTGTGTTAGATTATCCTCTGAGGAAAAGAAGGTGATGATATTTGACAAGAAGGGATTCAAGGAAACACCAATTTAAACCAATTTCTGCATTCTAAAGCAAATAGCACACTAAACAATATTTAACATCTAGCTGCAAAATAAGGTTATTACCTAAACTAGCATATAGCATAGTAGAAGGATATAATTTCAAAGATTGAAACTGTCTTTATCATCTCCTTTTCCAGAGTGAATCATGCCCTTAATCCACATCACATTTTCAGGATACCGCCTCAGCAGGAGGAAGTTTCACAATATAATGAATTTAAACAAGAGAAAGACAAAATATCAGTATTACAATGATTTACCTGATTTGTTAGCTGACTCACGCAACTCTTATTAGGAAGGGAAAAGCTAATGCCAAACCCTTATAGTTAGTGGCCATGATTCTGTTTGAAACTAAGATGGGACCTTCAGAACAAGGATCTCCCATGGATTATAGCAGTTGTGGCGAACCTTTTAGAGCCTGAGTGCCCAAACTGCAACCCCAAACCCATTTATGCATCCTCGAGTGCCAGGTGGGTGTGGCCCATTGGCTGAGTGTGGCCCATTGGCTGGGTGTGGCTGCAGTGGTAATGGCAGACTGGGTGGGACTAAAAAGTTCAATCAATCAATTCCAACTTTGCAAGATCTTTTTTTTTCCCGTGAGAAGTTGAAATTGACTGATTGAACCTTTTTTTTTTTTTGCACATGGCGGTGGAGACCTAAAGCAAAAAGGTTTTATGAAATCCAGTTGAAGGCCTAGGACTGGGGCGACGGTGCGCATGCCCACAGAGAGGGCTCTGAGTGCCGCCTCTGGCACCCGTGCCATAGGTTCGCCGCCACTGGGTTATAGTTTCAACCAGAAGAAACTAGCTGTCAGGAATGCTAAAGTTTAACCATTCTTGTATATGTCATCTTCATAGCTATGTTTTTAATCACTCCAATTAAGGTATTAAATGAGTATTTGTTATGGTAACCAAGGAATTAAATAGCCCAGTGATATATTAGGCTTTCATTTTTCCATCAAAGTAACAAACAGGTCTATTAGTTTCAACTGTAATTAAAGGGTGACTTTGCTTTATCCTTCACAGTTTTTATTATGCTGCTTCTTTTTCCTTGGATATTGTTGCCTGACCTTTTGGCTTTGCAACACCATTTTGGGATTCCTGAGCAATAACTCAAGCATCTACATTTAATTCTTAGTTTATTGCACAACAATTTCCAAGGAAGTTAGAATATATATATTTGCTGTGGGAAATGCCTTAAATTGAGAAAATAAGCAAGAGCTATTTGAGTCAGAAAAAAACATTATTTCAAACACCAATGGGTATTAAAGGACAAATTTCCAAAGGAAAGAAAAATACATACCATTTTTTAAATTGGACTTGGAAGTGAACTATGATACAGTGTTTCCTGGTTAGGTTATACAAAATGTGAGCAGATCACATCTTCATTCTTCCTGCTCTGGTTATGAACTTCCTGGTACTCTTCCTGTTTATTCCAAACATCTATATGCCATACGAAATTATAGAGATGAGTGTTTTACTTCCAGAGTTCTCATAACCATTAATTCATGTTTCTAGCCTCTACTCCCTAAATGAGTGTTTCTCAACCTCAGCAATGTTAAAATGTGTGGGCTAATGGCTGGGGAATAATGAGAGTTGAAGTCCACCCATCTTAAAGTCACTGAAGCTGAAAAACACTGCCCTAAACCATAAGATGATGTTCCAAAAATTTCCAGGAAGGTATTGACAAACTCAATTGCTTGAATTAACAAAAGGTGAATCATACAATTTTAAACTATATTTGGGGAGGAGGTAGGTGTAATTCATTCAAATAGATCATTGAAAAAGCTGAGGTTAATTCCTGAGGATTTCATCCATGTAGTTTTCTTTATAACGATAGGAAAGAATTTCCCCACCTCTTATCAGGATTTTTATAACTTCCCAGTCTAGCCTCACCAATGGAATTTCCTGGTGTTCTGGTCAAGTGTTAGCCAGGTTAGTACTTAAGTTACCTAGGTACAACCAGTTGCTGTATCTACAAATACATTCATTGAAAAATATTTAGGCTGAATTCAGCCTCATTAAGCTCACTGGTACTTATTCCCATATAGCTAGAAAATGTAGTTTAGATCATTTTAGTAACAATCTTCAAGTTATATCAATAGATTCACACCATCATGCT